AACGAGTGTGGGGTAAGAAATTTAAAATACTGAAAAACTTATGATCACAGCTACTTGTATGATTCAAAATAATTTCGATAAAAGCGTTTTCATATGCAAAATAAGGATTTTGCTTGTTCATGAAACCTCCTGCTAATTGAATTTTACCGTTCCATACCTTTTAAAAAATTCTGCAAAGCTGATGATGTGAAGTAAGTCATGAAATCATGAATGTCTTTGATTTTCATCATCTATACTTTTGAAGGATGCTGGTGAAGAATCTCAGGAAAACAGTAATCAAAGAAATGAAATACATTCTCAAATTCCGTCTCTAGTACCCACGATTTCGTCTGATATTTTCAAATTGCCATCACAAAAAATCTTATTGATGGAAAGGATTTCTTTTGGTTAGTTGCAGCGCATTTTTTTAAACATTAAAATTAATTAGTAAGTAATTTTGTATCATTGCATCATTGCATCATTACTTTATTTTTAACGCATTTTCTCACAAATTGGAATTCACTTTTCAATTTGATGTATTTATAGGATCCAGAAAATTTGTCATATTGGATTTTGGAATGCCTATTCTTCTAACAGATTTATTCATTCCATCAGTAGCGGAATTAGCAGCAATTTCTATAGACGTATGGCTCCTAGGTGAAAATGTTGATGGGCAACGACTACTGATGACAACGGATATATGTCGCAAAAGTATCGCTGTACAAGATCTGCAACCTTTTATGCGAATAAGATTTGTAAAGGTAAGACATAAGTTCATGCACTTTATCGGTAACTTTCCACCGTATATTACGTATAGTAATATCTTCATTCAAAAAATAAACGAGGGATGGAATAAGGGGGAGTTACAAGAATTTTATTTCGATGAAAAAAGAAAAGAAAACAAGTTAAAGTCTGAGTGGATGTTTAAGAATATTCCTCCTTTTTAATGTTTTCACTGTGGTCCTTAAAGCTACTTGAAAGTGAATATAGGACATAAAATTAAGTCAGATTTATTTTCTATTTTGATTATAAATAAAATGGCACCATTTATATTGTTGCCAGTTTAACTTGCAGATAACGTATGTTGGACGGCAACTTTATAGTGCAGCCTGTAAAATTCCACTAGGACTCTTTTTTGGACATCGTTACTTCTCATCATGGCAAATTTATTCATATCCATTTATACAAAAAGAATATCTTGCTAACTGTATGCCATCCAATCAACAAAAGAAGGTTTGCTGGTTCTTTGCTGGTTCTTTTTAGAATTCCTTTTGAAACTGCAGTGGAGAATGGTTTCATTTTACTTCAATTGTTCGTCTAAGATAAATATTCCTGACATTAACATTCTATATATTTTTTAGTCAAATAGTTTATCTGTTAGTCTAAAAGGTTTTGACATTATATGAATTTGCGATGTGACAGATTGTTTCATGCAAAAGATTCTTACTGTCACATACCATTCTTAATTGTTTCTGACCGAAATTATTGTTCAGTTTTCACTTGTTGCTTGTTAGACTATGCAAATGAGGATGCAAATAAGGGTGAGGATTTAATTATTGATCATATGAAATTGTAATCATTTAGTCCTCATTCATGTATGTGAATCATCCTTCATATAGCTGAATCAAGATAACGGGATTTATAGAAGCTTGAATTTTAGATCGTTGTTGCCTTAAATAATTTGCGTCAGCTCTGTGAAGATTTACGATGCAGGCATCAGCTTGTGAGTGCAGAACTGCATCGTTTGGTGGATGAATCTGCTTCTGAAGAAGAAGTAAAACAAGTTTACCGTGAATGCATCCAACTGAGTCTGCGGTGGAATATTGTAGTGGGTGTGGTGCGCCGATTGGAGTTAGATTACTTGTCATCATATGGCGCGTATTTCCATTTAATATATAATGTTGATTTCAAATGAATAAGTTCTGTCTTAGAAAAATATAGGAGAATAAAATGCTTGGTTAGTTGAAGAATGCTTCAAAGATCAATAGGTATCATTTGAAAGTATTGCTGAAAAATCGATTGTTCTATTTAGATTGTGATCAGAATTTGGAGAAAGCTCTATGCGGAAGCTGGAGTGACTGCTGTCCAGATCAATTGCAAATTATTGCAGTCGAGCTCTTTGCTTTGGTCACTCGAGCAACTCATTTGATTGATGTTCGGACCGTTGCAATGGAAACATTTACCAATGATAGCAAGGCTGCTATTCAGGTTATTAGCATTATTGGTGTGCTGTAAGTTACTAACAGAATATACCTTTGTCAAAAAGTGTTTGCATGACTTGTTGGATTCAGTTGAAGGGCTTGAGAATTGACTTGATTTGAACTTCTCATAGTTCGGAGTATTTATTGCTATGTGAGGTGCGAAATTTTCACAAGACTATAGAGGAAACGTTGGGAAATCACATCTAATTATGTGACTAGACATTCTTATCGTTTTTCATGGGTCTAATTTCGTGAAGATTTTAGATTATTTATGGAAAAAACTGCAGTTAGAAATAAAATATTCGTCTTTGCATGTCATACTTTGGAATTAGTAAAATCATTTTTTATATGATTTTTTTCTTTGCAGAACCGTACGGAAATTTTAATTTTCTATATAACCTTATAATAAATTTGCAGCAATTTAATTCCTTATTTGCAGACCTGCTATCCAAGTGAAGCAAAATATGCTCGAATAAAATGTAAGGAGACGTTGGAAGTAAATTTGTCACTTCCATCAACTGACGAGATTGTTTTGCAACCGAAGTTCGGTCTCGATGATGCTGTTACTCTCTTCGTTTTGTTTTGTGTTCCAGCCGTACCGAGATTACAGGTTGTTTAAAATTAGATTTGTTTCTTGTCTTAAATGGCATTTTGCGGTCATTCTAAATTTAGGTGGGATGTATCACTTGGCTATTTCACCACGGATCCGAAAGTGAGTGGTGGCCATTGTTCTTTCCTCGTGTTCTAAAGGAAATTTTTTCCGCGCAGCTCAAAAAGCATGATCGCAAGTAAGTCTTACAGTTTCTTTTGTTGTGATTATTTTAAGAATTGTGTTGAGTTATTTTCTGCTGATATAAATTTGTGCTAGCCTTATTGTGATTCCTTTGCTGTTCAAAGTTGTTAAGAATTTCCTTTTTTTCATGTTAACTTATGTATCGTTGTAGGATCTTTTTACAACTGTCATTTTTGTGCAATCATTCAGTGAAATCTAGCTCAAAACAGGTAATTTTGCATTTTGTTTCAATTTATCAAAAATTCCATCATTTAAATCTTTACTTAGTTTTTTTTCTTCAAAGTTAATACGGTTCTTTTTATCTAATTTATGATTAAATATGTATGTTGACTAATTTTACTTTTCAGTCTGCTATTATCCTCGAACTTTTCAATCTCATCAAAGAAATAGCTGTGGGTGCTCTGGATAATGATACAACCGATTATCATTGTCAGAATAATTTGGATGTCACCTTACTTTGTTGGTCTCTGATGCTTCTTTCGAGCGCTTTTGATGTCATTGCTTACAGTAAGTACGACTCCTTCTATGTAGGAGACAATTTTCTATTTTGGTTGAAAGTTTTGCTCTTGGTTTTATTCTCTTTGTTCCTGTTACTTGCTATTGTTAAATACCTGTCGCTACATTGGCTTGCAGAACTCTATGAGATCTGTTACTTGCGAATTCTATCATTACAATTCAGACCGTTGTTAACTTCATAAGATTATAAGATTTTTTTGAACATGTATTTTCGCAAAAATTAAGGTAAATTAGAGGAAGTATGTTTTAACTACATTCTTAACGGAGTACAGAGGAAATTGAAAAAGAACATATGCTGAAATAGCGAATATTTATAATGCATCACAAGTTTTTTCAACTTTTAACAAATAAAATATGGGCTTTGTAAATAACTAATCTCATGTGGGAGTAAAAGCGTTTAGAGACAAAACGTTGTTTCAAGCAGGTGAGAAAAATGATTCCAAATTGGCTATGCGAAGATGGATCATAGAATGGCTGATGAGCTTTTTTTAAAACCATGCTCGTCATCTATTAAGAGCAATGTGTTTTTGTCTCGTTCACTTAATATCATCTACTTTTGTTTTCAGACAAAAAGAACAACCGTTGGGCATTCATTGGAGGTGAGTATTCGCGAGTAATGACATCAAACGAAAAGGATGATTCTATGTCTAGATGGCACAAGAAGAAGTTGAAGTTCGGGAATAGTGACGAGAAAACCACAGAGTCCTTAAAAAACATTAGCTCTGCTACTTTGGTAATTAGTACTTCTATTTAGAGATATTATACAAAACTTATCAGATTTTCTGAAATTCGTCGATTTCAACAATATTTTTATTTAGTGGCGATTTTCGTAAATGTCGGCAGTGATCCAAACAATTTTCCGAAACTTATTATGACTTTTTGCACGGGCACAGAAAATTCAAAACTATTTGCGAATTTATTTACGAATTTCACCTTTGTATCTAACGCCATTTGTTTTACACTGGGAATTTCAGTGCTAAGAGGGTAAGAGAAGCATTTAAATCGGGTTGGGGTGTAGTAAAACCTCTGTTGCTTCATGAAAGTCATATAGACGATGAAGACTATGTCATGCGAAACTTAGTTTTAGCAACTGCTATGCTCAGCTGAATGGATGGTGACTGACTTGTGCGTCTATGTTCAGCATTCAATCGCGTCTTTACTAACATTAAATTTTTAAAAGAAGAAAGAGGGGGTACTGTATACGATCTGTATGACCTAACTGGACAGTCGTAATACCACACCACTTCATATTTTTCACCTTTTTTAGAAAACTCAACTCGAGACATTGTGGGAGAAGCACTTAAAGGTGATGGAAGCAATGAAAGCAAATATGAAGATATCTAAGACATTAAATGCCAAAATGCAAAAGAAAGTTGAATTGGAGAAGAAAATCCGTGGTTTATCCCCACCTAGTAAAATGGGTCATTCGGTTCGCTTTTATACATGAAGCTATCTTAAATTGCCTTGACACAATCTTCTCCATTCTTCATCTCCGGGACCTCAGCAATTTCACCTTTTCCGCTTTGACCATATCCAGTTTCACCCTTGCTCATGTTCATTGCTATGAATATACATGTCTTGCAGCATCGTTACTAACATTAGCAACCGTTGATTAACAATAGTTTATGTTGCGCTCTTCTGTTAGCAAATTTGCAATCTGTTAGCAATTCTGTTAGCAAATCTGTTAGCATATTTGTTAGCAAGCAAATAAATAGTCACTATTTGCGCTTCTTTCAAGTTGACTTATTTCTGCTAATATTTTACCCGACTTTGGGGCATTGAATATTATTTTGAACATTGTTTGGATGCAGATTTAGGATTCATTCGGGAATGTGGTCATATTTTGCACGTGAATTGTTCTACTGCTCATCGATCACTCAGAATAGTTGGATAGAAATTCATTTTCGGATCTCAGAGGTTTTTCTTTTAGGTTTTCGCTGAAACGGATTTCCCAACAGAATTGACAGAAGAGCTGCATGCGACTTTGTTGCCATTCCTCGGTGAACAACAAATGGAAGAAATTTTGGCAAAAGTGAGTAATTATTAGAAAAATCAAATATAATTGAAGGAAAATGAAGTAATTTCAATTAATTTCAGTATGATATCTTCGAGGGGCACGATAGATTTGCATTTGCTTTTTCATTCTTTTATTTTTTTCCTGCTGTTCTCTGCTTTGACGTAATCTTCCGAAGAAATTAATAGAATTATACTGTCCACGCTTCGATTTTTTTAGCTATAACTTAGCGGATAATCTTGTGCCTCAGTTCAAATCAAAAACCATTTTTCAGAAGTATGTTCATCAACAAAATTCAGATTTGAAGACATCGGCTGATTCTTGTATGTTTCTTAGTATTTTCATATAAATCCAAGAACATTTCATAAAATCGTTCAGTTGGTTTAGTTCGAAATAGAGCTTTTGAATTGAATATGAGTAATCTCTAACTGTAGCAAAGTAACTTGTTTTAGCTGAATCAGCTTTGAAAAAGGCAATATCCATGGCAAGCAAAAGTAATTCGCGACCTCGCTACAGACAATATAATATTCGCTTGAAACTTCCTCGCGAACCATGTGTTGATGTTGCTCGAAAATTAATCACTTTGCTCTGTGATTTTGAAAAGCAACTTCCAATATTAGCGAAATTGATAATATGTAAAGTAAGGTTATTTTACTTCATGATTTCTTTTTTTTCCGTGTATTTTCCAATTTTTTCACAAAATTTGAACGAAATAATTCGAAGTAGTAAAAAAGCGAAACTAACACGGTAAGTTTTAGCGGATAATCATTGGATCAATGCTGATTAACCACGCTGTTCCTATTATTTTATAAACATTTTCAGGTTGTTGCACGGATATGCATTAGCGCGTCTCATCATACCATTCCTTTGATTTGCGTTTTGGAAGATCCAATTGATAAACTGATAAGAATTGGTTGGTTTTGTAGTTTCACAAAAACTCTAGGAATTATTAAATTACCATTTTGAATGATCCAAGCTTCAATTATGCCTATGGATCAATTGTTGAATCAGCTGGCCTAATTTTAGAATTCCCCGTTTAAAGTTCTTTATTTTCGACATGAAAAATCTGGAGAAATAATAATTATACTTTAACAGAATAATAAAAAGTATTTGTGTGTCCATTCGTTTTTATTTCAGGATTGGAGGAGCAAGGGACTGGTTTGCTGAAATATGCAGTCTTACACTTAATTTTAGATGTTATTGAAGCAGAATCACGTGCCGTCCCTAAATTAAATGTATCTTCCAAAAATCAAATTTTCACGAAGACTAAAGATTCAAAGACATCTGAAATATCAGAGGAGCTTGATTTGCTTTGCATGCGTCATACGGGATGTCATTTTGCTGATATCATTCTTCGTGGTAAATTTTATTTCGTTCAATCAAATTGAATCGTTCGTTATGCCGTAACATTTTAGTCAGTCTAATGGTTTTAAAATTAAGATTATTCTCATGTGTGTTGCAAAGCTTTAACATGCAGTTGTGAAGAAAGCAGTTTATAGACATGCTTTATGTAAATTCATATTATTTGTAGCAAAATCCGAGAATGAAGCAGTGGAGGACGTGAAAGAACGAAAATCAACTGGCATTACGGCGGCTGTATGTTGCCTTCCGGAAGCTTTTTGCGGAGCAAAAACTTCTCGATCCTTTAGCATTGCGAAGTACAGCTTATTAGCATCCTAGAGTATCTGAATTCTAATTGATTTTATAATAGGTTAACCGATTTGACAAAATAATTTCGATTTCAATAGCCGTGAAATGCAACTTTTCTTCCAGCTATGATGAGCAACCCGACTTAGGATCTGAACTACTGGAAACGCTGATATATCAAATTTTGGTAAATACCAGACAAGCAGTGGTACCAGACGGTCCCAGTGGTAAAATTCGAAGCCATACTTATCAGAGGAAGTAAGTTGTCTTCTCTTTCGTTGACCGGTAAAACATTTTCGGCTTGCATCCCTTTAAAGTCAATTTATAGTATTCGATAGGATAAAAGAGAAGAATCGTGAAGATATGAAGGTTTCTTAGCTGAACAAAGGTAGTCACTGATTTGTATGCCTTGGTTTTCGTTGCTATCTTTGCCATTTGCATTTTTAGAGCTAGGGAAATGATCAAAGAAAGGCTTGCAAAAGGTGAACGATTTTGTTACGTGTTTCGCTGGATTGATGATCTTCTGGAAGCCGAGGAGCAAGCTGCGCGTTCCTGTGACGGTGTACGTTTGTATTATTTTCAGTTTATAAAACACCTTTGTTTTATATTTTATTTACAGCAGAAGACTTGAAGAGTTCATAATAATTTTTCAATTTGCTTTCTTTCTCCTTTCTTGTGTTAGAAATAGAAGTGAAGTAAATGCAAAATCAGTCAATTTAAACCTGTTTGATTTAAAGTTCCGCTTCATGCCGAACACCATGGAATCTGTGTTAATTAACACTTGGAATTTCAGTAAATTAACAAGGTTAGGAATTAAATGCTATCATAAGCAAAACTGATGAAGTCACGAAAGTATTGCAAAAGTTTATCTCCAGTTAACATTTCCTTGTGCTATAGATTGAGTCAATCAGTGTTACAAATCTGACATTAAAGGATATCATTAATGACATCGAAAAATTACTTCTCATTTTCGGTAGTCAATTGAATTGGCGTTCCGTTTTTCACATTGTATTCTTTACATCATATTTCAGGATCTAGAATCATATCTGGAAATAATGGAAACTCAAATATCATCAAATACAACATATGAAGGATACACGACTACATCAAAATCAGCGTTTATTGCTTGTTGCATATCAGAATACATGCGCTATCTGAATGTCAAAAGAAGCGGTTAGTCTTTTTTTCAATTCAAAAATTTCGAAGAGTCAGATGATAAGGAATATTACTGATACATTATTCAAAAAGGCCACCATTTTCAGGTTTTTGAAATTTTTAAAATTCAGTTTAGATGAATCAATTGATGGTCTCGTATCTTCATCACCGGTAGCTGAACAAGGATCCAGTTCACCTTCGGCTCCTGAATCGCCGACGCTACCCACGGCCGATGTAGAAATGAAGGAAAGTGAACATAAAACAGCTCAGAACGATGAAGATATGGATGTGATGAAAAATACAGTTGATTTTGCAGATAATGTTTCTGCAAAAGGTATTTTCACTTTCCTCATTCTCGAACATCGCGATTTATTGTTTTCTATTTGTTGGTCACTGATTGAGTTATTCACCAGCAGTTGAATTGTATTTTAATGCACGTCGTAATATTTTGCAGTACTTTTTTATATGCACATAAACATTTTTTTCTAGCTGCAGCGGATTCTATCTTTGAAGTTGAACACTTAGAAACACAGGATTTATTCAACTTTGTAGTTCGACGTGGAGAAGCTTCCATGGAAACGGTTACTTTCTTGCTTAAGTTCTAGAATTAGTTTCCTTCGTTAAAGAAGTGGCAAAATTTAAGGCTTCTAAAATGAATTGCATGAATTAGTCGGTAATCTAATTGGTCCAATAGTTAGCTCAGCTTATTGTTTGGGAAAAAAATACCAGCTCTTTCTTGAGGTTGAAGTTGATTACGCTTGTAGAGCCATTCAAAATATTATATTCTTTGTTTTCAGGAGCCGTGCTGTTCAGCTTTTTCTGCCTTTTCGGAAAGTAAAGTAAAGAGAGGCATGGAAAAATGGGTGCCGGTGAAATGGATACCAAAAATATCCGTAAATAGGAAGATTTATGTGGAACATATAATGGCTTGCTTTTTAGTGCGTCATGCATGAAAAAATTATAGTATTATAAATAATCACTGAACTAGGAGATTTTTTTCTGTGATTGTCTCTCTGATGGTGGATCATTATGTACAACTTTCTGTGCTTTTTGGGAGTAACCCATGCTCCAGTGTTTAGTGAAGCTGATGAGAAGTTAAATTTGATTTTAAAGCTCTAGGCGTAGAACTGGATGGAGAAAATTGAGTGTTTTCAAGTTTTGGGAGTATTGAGATCTTTCATATATTTTGAGTTTTCTTATTTTGATCATGAACTCATTTTATAGATAAGGATCATTGCTTAGAACATAATTTCATAATGCAGTAGTGAGAGGTGAATAATATAGATTTGACTGTTAAATATGCTGGAGGATTAGCGAAGAACAAGTGTCAGGGTTAAGTGTGGTAATATTTTTAGGGTGAATTACGATTGGCAAGAAATGACATCCTGGTGCAGCCTTGTTCTTTTGTGTATCCTGATCATTTGACACAGCATTTAGGCTTAAATCAACATGTTCATTGCATGAATATGGATTTCCTTGCTGACGTTATCACAAGGTTATTTTTGCGATTTTTCTAATAAGTAAATTCAAGAAGTGAAAAAGTGAGGAACGATAGGGAAAGCACTTTGACGGTTATCATTTTTTTTAGCAATGAATTACTGAGGACCATTTTGACTATTTTGTAGATATTCAGTTCGAGATTTGAGTAGGTGGAGAGCTTGTTTATTGTCTCGTCCTCGATTACCGGAAGATGAAACGATGCGTGCGAAACTTGGAGAAACAATGAATGCAACTAACTCTGCTCTTGGGCGATTTATTCAATCCATTTCACCTACTGATTCTAATGAATCCGTGCAACAACTTCTTACCTTTTGCTTGGATTTTGAAGCTGGTCTCATTCGTAGGACATTTTATGAATTAATTTACTTTCAGCATGCAAATTCTAATGCAGCGATTAGTAGGTATTGCTTCTAGTTTTTTCAAACAAAATTTGAACAACAATATCGCAATGAAGAGAGTCTTTTTTTTTCAACAAAAAAATGCGTTAATTTCAAAGATTTTTTTCGAAGTATTGATAAAATTGCTACTTTGGCGAAGTTTTGCGAAATAATCTAATGTCTTTCTAGATTCAACGAAGAAATTGCCAGCAGTTGGCAAATGCATACTTCCAGCTGAAAATATAACTTCCATTGTGAACTTTGCGGTAGTGTCGAATTCACTTTCTCAACATTTATGGGTGCTTGTGTTACGTATTTTGGATCTCATAGTCAAAAATGATGTAAACATTTATAATTTAATTCATCATTCAAATATAGCCAAAAAAATATTACGTATAAAATTGGCATAGTTTATGTGGTATAGTTCATTCGTTATTACAATTGAGTTTACTGCTTGAGAATAATTTCACAGTATGTTTGCATTTGATTCTTCTTTTGTTTTAATTTTAAAATATCAAAATACGTAAGAAAACGATGTAATTGTGGATCAGTGCTTTCATGTTACGTAGAGCTATTTCTATGATAGAATGTTTTTATGGTTTAATATATATATATTTTTAGTCCATGGCCTCAGCTCTTCTGATTGGTTCACCTCTTTTTTGCAAGTTAATTAATAATTTCTTGGTAGAAAGTATTGCAAGAGTTAACCAATCGTTAACAGTAAGTTTCGCCCAACATTTGAATTATAAATTTGCTGTCTTCTTTGATATGTCCGTAGTTTCATTTCATTCACTGCACCTAGGATTATGGTATGTCTGTCCTTTGAAAGCAAGAATATTCGAGCAGTATTATTCACCTTTATGACTGCTAGAATTAAAAATTTTTCTTGAACGAAGAAAGTAAAGGATTTCTTTGATTTTCTCTAAATTTTATTGGATTTCTTTAAATTTCGAAGTTTTCAAAAAAATTTTTTTCTACGGCATTGCATATACACGTTTTAAGACTGGTCCTTCAACGTTGTGTGCCTTCAAGAATTTTATTACACGACTTCATGAATCGCATGATATATCTCTTCGTGGTATTCTTTGTGTCAAAATTCTCACTGTTCTCAAGGATATTTTTTCACAGCAGTATGATATTATTTACTAATTACATTTGCTTAAATTTAGTTAATCTATTCCTTAAAATAATCCTCATTCTTTGTGGGAAGGAGATTTGGAAGAAACCACCATGACAGATAATGCGGAGAAATAGGGCTAGCCAAATCATTGTAGAGTCACGTCTTAAAGTAATAAGATGAGTTCCATCTTCACACTTTTATGAAATTATTGATAAGTTTTCAAAGATGGCCAATTGCTATTTATCTCTTGTCGGGACATAGACAGCATCGTTTTGCTTGTAATTGCAGGGTTGATTTGATTAATTTTTCATATCCAATCGATTGCTTAGTTGAATTATTGAATGTTATGACAAATTATGCATCAGATTATGTCAATGTGGCACGTAAGTGTTTATTAGTTTTAAGCTAGCTTGCTGTAGTTTTGCAAACTCATTGTGAAGGAACTAAATTTGTTTGGCCATAAGAAATATTATTTCAGTTGTACTTAAGGGAAGAGTTGCGGATATTGTAAAGTTAGACAGAGCTTATTTCCAATAAACATGATTTTTTGTTTAAGGTTTTTAACTGAAGTTGATTGAAATATGTAAATGTAAACACAAATACCTTTAGACGAGTAATTCTAAATGAAATTCAGAAAACTAAAGTCTAGTTTATAAACAATCAGTGAATAAAGTGGGCCTTTGTGCGAAAGAGTTTGAATCGATATGCTTGTGATGTGCTGTTCTTGTTCAGATAAAAATAAACGAAAAATTTGTTTCTAGCACAAGAACTTGCTGGGTATATATCGTCATCAATTCATACGGCACGAAATTTCATCCATTATTACAAGACTTCGGGCACTTACTCGCTAGTTTCTGCTGATTCATATCTTCGACCGAATATATGCTTCCAAGTTTGATTTCCTTTTTTTCGTTTTTCTAAAAGAGTAGGAAAGGTGTATGTGGTAAATCAGTATTTTTGCAAGCATCTGTACTTCAACTTATAGTTGAAAGTAAGCATTCGTCGACTGTAGTTTTTCTTGTTGTATGAAATACTACTTTTTTTCCTCTAACATAATTGTATGAAATACTACTTTTTTTCTCCTGACGCAATTGTCAACACTAGTTCGTTTTACCATATGACTAAACTAAGCTTCTATCTAAGCCGTTGAAGATTATCATATACATCTTTGGGTAGTTTACTGCTAATCAACGACGGAAAACTTAAAACAAACAATATGAAATGATGCAAAACGAACAAACTGACATCAAACATTAAAGGTAGGGTGAATAGCTCATTTGACATCAAAGGTAAGGTGAACGACTCATTTTTTATGGCTGTAGAATCGAAACAGAGTCATTTAAGTATAGCATTTCTATCATTTAGGTTACTCAAAAGATACCGATCAATGTGCAGCATGCATGCGAGAATGCAGATTTTCCTCATTTTCCATATATGCCAGAACTGTGGGGACAATACGGCCCACATTACGCACAGCTACCTGATGTAAGTTTTACTGGGAAAATTACTTTTTGGGAAGCACATTAAAAGAGATAAATAGGAAATATTTTTTGCAAATCCTACCATTGTTTGGAAGCAGTTTTTAAAAATTAGATAATGGATAGGGGAAAACTGGAACCAAGAGCCAGTAAGACAGTTTATCTCATTTATCTTCGCTATTATGAATTATGTAAAGTTGAAAAGCTGATAGCATTCATCGTATTGCTCGTATTCTATCATTGCATTTTAAAATTTCATTTGTTTTTAAGTAACCGAGTGAATAGTCATTTTTACAAGAGAGGGATTCGTACAGCTTGTCCAGTCACATCCATATTGAGTAGTAGACAGTCATTGAAGAGTCTGAAAGTAGATATGGAACTCATGCTAATCGCACTAATTGAAATTGAAACTGCAATAGTTTTTAGTATTAATAATGCTAAGAATTATTGTTGTAAGGCTGTTGAACTAGTGAGAATTTTCCTTCTATTGTTTTATAGGAGAGGTCTTTCTATTGATGTATGCACCGTTAATTATCGGAAGCTGATTACCAGCACTTTTCTAACCAACTGATGCAGGCGTAGAGTGTTTGAAAGTAATTGATAAAAATGGATTGGCTTTACTTACAAGCTTAAAACCATTGTCCATAAATACTTTTTTATACTTATCTAATTTTTTCTCACATCAGTTTGTTGATCCGAAACGACCACCTACATCTCGCAGTGATTCATTGAGTCGTTTTTCATTGCCTCCTCGCTGGCAAAATCAGTCAAATATGTTTCGTCAGGTAATGCTAAATCAGGTAATTACAACTTATTTCGATATTTTTGTTTTACATATATTTATATAAGCTTGAAATAATCGAATCAGGCGAGCGGAAAACATTCAGGTGTATTGATTAGGGTTGCAATTTTAATACTTGAGGTACTCCTATTGCTTAGTAATACAAAAATTAATATTAATATATTAATTTTTAATATTTAATATTTTAATAAATAATATTAGTAATATATTGCTTAGTAATACAAAAATTGTCTGCTAAGAAAATTAGGATAACAAACAAACAAACAAAGGAATAGACAAAAGGTAAATCACCATGATAAAAGATATTTGATGAATACAACGTACCGATAAATACGCTGATAGTTTTCCAGGTTGTTTGTTACTTGGATCATTCAAGCGAAGTGTCAGATTATTTATTGGGCAGTTTCCCAAGTGCAATCGAGGAACTGTTTGAAATTGTGGCAACATGCGAAAGTGCTGTTCCGGATGTAAATTTGATTTCTTTGCAGGAGTAAGTATCTTACTGAATCATGTACACTTACTCTCGAAATTATATTAATTTCAGTAAGATTCCGAAAAAAAAGCTCGAAAGAAATCATCTAACGAATTAGTATAGTCTGTGCAGCTTTTGAACTGTCAAAACATTGTTCTAACTTGATGTTTGCAAGTTTTGAAATGGAAATGATGAGAGTGGTGAAGTTATGATAGTTAAAATTATTTCAGCTGGAATCACATAACCTTGGGCGATCACGCCCTGTCAATGTTACTGAAAGTATCACAACGAGTATCACGCGAAACAAAGCGTTTGTTCGAAATAGCTGTGCAAGTAATAAAACGCTGTGCTAATTCATCTATTTACTCACTTTCAAAGCCGCTTGCCTTTGCATTTGTACAAATGCTGGGACTTAAGCATAATCAGATTTATTTTGCTGAACTCGGTAAATTTTTTATTCTATATTAACTGAGATTTTCTCTTTCAAAAGAATAATGCTCGCTTGCATTTATTATAATGCGCATAGTTTCAACATAAATTAGTTTCTGAATCTTCTACTTGCTTTTGAATCTCCTTCTCCTTCCATTCTTGCCTTCCCCATTCCAAGCACTTTATTTTTGTTATAATATTAAGAGGAGATTTATTTGCAACTTCTTCTCAAAGGAGGTGTAAGTAAAGGGAAAGAAGCTGATGCGAAAGTGCAAACTCATTTACTTCTACTCTTCCATAAGTTTGTTTTCTACAACTTGACAAGTGGAAATATGGTTTGATAAACTTATTAACTTGTCACAAATTTTCTGTTATCGGAATGTTTCCTTTGCATCTAAACAGAGTAAATTTGTTATGGAATATGTTCATTTCGTCTTGGAAAGTTTCTTCTCTACTCAATATATTAGACTACTCACCGAAATGTTAACCATTAAGAAATGATGAGGCCTTTACAAATTAGTTAAATTTGATCATCCTGGTGTGAGATAAAGTTTTCAGTAACGCTGCAAATATAATATTCACATTTCCATCTGGTGAATGTAGCGGCCGTATAGTTTTAAATACTTCAGGAGGACACTTAATTGTGGCACGTGAATTGGAACGTTCTATATTGGCTTCAGCAAATGATTGGACAGCTCCAATTTCTGCACCTCTTATGCGTCAACTTGCTTCACTATCCGCTCAAGTAGCTGGTAGTAGTGATTATGGATGGCAAACATCGAAGCTGCAGACTGATGTACAAGATGATGGATTGTATAATTACGCACCACTCTGTAAGTTTTTTAGGCTTACCTGGCTGAAATGTATCGAAGTTTGAAAAGGAGATAAAGCGAAGCTTAGAACAAAGTTTTCTGATCCTCAGATTTATAGAACTGTTATATTTTTTAGCCATAACTTTTGGTTTTTAATATGATTTAGAATTTGTTTCCATTAGATCTGACTTAAAATACGCAATACCGAACCAGAACTGTCCTTAAAATATTCAGTACTTGAGCTGCGTTGAATTATCTTGATTTCTAGGTACGATAAGCTCTGAGCAAACACCAAACATTAGTGGACAATTGTTATCCTTGATTGCGGTTGCTGCACCGCGTCGTACTCGATCCGCTAATTGGAGCTATCATTTTAATGAAGGTAGCGGAGAATGGTTCGATATTACCCTAAATCTTCCATATCACATAGTTTTGCATGAAGTACAAATTCGACCTCATGTTCCTGCCTTAAGCAGTGAGTTTGTTTTGTTCTTCTTTTGTGAATTTTGCAAAAATCCCGGGCCTATTGTTTTAAGTTTTTGCTGCCTTCATTTTATGTCATTTCTTAGACTTTTTTATAATCTTTTGGTCCAGACATCCCTCTGTTTTTCTACTTTCATGAATGCTTTTTTTCAGCATCTCCATCAGCCGTTCAAGTTGAACTGTGTTCGGAAACATCCCTTACGCAGTGGTGCAGTCTTGGCGCTCCATTGAGTACTACTGGATACAGCAAAATTCGCATTTCAACAGACTCATACAAACTTCCCGTCATTGCTGTATGCGTAGTTTTTAACTTTCCAGTCTTTTTAATCTTGTTTTTTAAGGGATCAAATTTTATTACTTTTTCTTTTAAAATTTTTTAAAATGTTTTCCAGGTGCGTCTTTATTTTAAAAAGCCACCAGATTCAACAAATTTATCCCTTTCGCAAATACTGTTGTTGGGGATGAACTTCACTACTTCATTGTCATATACATATCCAAAAAATACAGACTTGTAAGCATTATTTTTGATGAGCATTATCAATATCATCGATTTTGCGAAATGATTAAGTTAATCTACAATCTATAATTTTTTATTCTCGTTTTTTACTCAAAAATTTCTTGATTTATCTTTAATTAAATTTTCTTGATTTATCTTTAATTAATATTTCTTAACATACATGTTTGCTAAATTAAATCATTATTATCGCCTACTCACTTATTTAAAATAAGTGTGCAGTTTATGACCAACTTGGCCAAGTAGTAAATCAAAAGGAGAATCGAAAAAATCATTGTTTTACTTACATTAGTTACTTTTATCATCTTAACAGTAGAATAGTAGAGTATTTGTTAGTTTATTTGAAGAAAAACCAAATAACTATTGAATATTTTTTTATTCTAATACTTTACAATCAAAATTACAGCGTACAGTGGCTTTCCATCATGGTACAACTATGTCATCTTGAGAAATATTGTATTTGGCAATATGCTCCGGAACTTCCACGTGCTGTCGTAGCGCTCTTTTTGGGTCGACCGTTATCCAGCCTAGTTTACCACCGCATTTCAGAACTCTTTTGTCAGATTGATCACGAACGGGCAAAGCCGTATTCAATCGTTGAATTGATTTTTCAATACATAGGTTATAAACATTTCATTTTTTTAATCTTTGAAGCCCTTAAAACATTTGGAATTAAATGTATATATGTTCAAAATGTTAAACCCTTTTACTTTTTATGATATTTAAATATATTTTAAGCATTTTTGGTTGCAGAGCAAGGGAATACTGTTACCAGCGAATCCTTAGAATGGCTTCCAAACCTGCTTTTTACGTTATGTGCGCGAAATTCATCACCGATAAGCGATGGCACTGTCAGAGTACAAAATAAGCATCGAATCTGTGTCGTAAAGCAGTATCAAGTTCTTCTTGGTGTTACTTCTGTTATCACTTCGCAAAATTATAAAAAGCCACTCCGGGTTTGTTCTTTTTAAAGTTTGATATATTACCAGTTCAGTATAGACCTACTTCTATTCATTATGCATTCAAGAAGTAATGAAGTTTTGTAATAGAATCATTACAATGAATAACACGGACCTAAAAAGCTGCATATAGATCATTCCGATTAAAGGCGTAACAGTATTACTAAATAAAGAATAGCACTGTTATATAAAGAACAGTCTGATATCGGGAACATTTTTCTGGCATTATAATAAAAATAACAAACACCATTGCACACGGTGTACTTGGTAAGAGAGTTGACTTTGACTAAAATTGTGAGAAAAGATCAAATTCATTAAGTTCAAGTCTCATCAAGTCCGTAATTTCCTATGAATGTTCATCCGATTCTCTTTTTAATATCGTTTTCTTCGCTTCCATCGTTATTTATTTGATCCATTTTCTCGTTAAGTACAGCAGATATTTCTTACTTTAGCTGTTATCAGTGTTTTATCCATGGAAGTATTCCTCTGAGACTATTAAATTCTCGAAAGATGCGATTTTGTACGATTGTATCTGAAAGAAGCTTCTATGTTTTCACTGCATTATCGATTATGCAAACTGAAAGAACAGTGGATGAGTAAACTGAATATTCAATTATTTTTCGTAACACAATATAATGACAGCACTGCGCTAGGCAAACTATATAGGTGAGTAACAAATAGTAATCCCGGTAATGATAAGAATGAGTGCACTGCGAAAACTTCGAGGAAAAAGTGGAAAAAGTCTGTGAATAAAAATTGCAGTCCGATAATGAGTAAATGCTGAAATATTGGACTAAACTATCTGACCCAATGTAGAATATGAAGAGTAGCTTGCCAGTTAATTTGATTCTCTTCATTAAACATATTGTGTTTCAATCTTTGCTTGTTGTTCTCTCTGCTATCTTTTTCTCCGATTGCTAATTTATATTTCACTTTCCAGCAAGATACTAAGAGTACAGAATCTGTTGCGCATTTTATTTCGGTGAATGATAATGAGAAAAAGCATACATTTTTCCGGATTATTTAATATTGAAGGGCAATAACTTTTATCTTTGGCTATGCATTCAGCAAAATACAAAGTACCTCATGTGGAGTGTAATTTTGGTTGATTGATAAGGCCTTTTCTTAATGACATGATGGGTAAATTCTGAAGTAAATGACTCTAATGCACTGAAGATAGAATCCAAATGTTAACATGCATCAAGAAAAATTTTTGCAGGATGTTGCTGCAGTTTTGATTTGGACTGCCTCTTGTATTTTATGGCATAATATCAATGTGGAAGAGCGACGTTTTGATACGTTAGCACTGTGCATGGATTTAACGCCACAGCTACTTCCGTTTGTTTTTACAATTCTTATAGATTCTGGATTTTATAAATTTGTTTTTTAATCTTCTAATTTATTCATAAGTTCAACATTGTAGAAATACTGCCATATATATATATATATAAAATGTATAGTCTGATCATTTCACGTAGGTTTGTTAGAAGATCCAGAAGAGAAATTACTAATTGATAAATCTTTGTATCGAAGAGTGACTGTAGATTCTTTGAAATCTGAGATGTATGAATTAATTTTTCAAGGTTCCTGTGTGAAATGGCAGTGGATGTAAGTGAGCAGTGCAATGATACGTTTGCAAAATCGGCATCTTGGTTGTTGTGCTCTTTGATGCGTGGTGCACCACATTTTCTGCGTAATGCATTGAAAGAGATCGGATTATTAGATATGAACGATAAGCGTCAGTTTTTTTTCTTTCTTACATAAAGTATTTATAGTACATTGCATACGAGAGTTGTAGGACAAATTCCTTACCGAAGAATTTTATTTGAATAATTAAAATATGTGTTTGAATCATCGAATAAGTGAACTATATTCCAGATATTTTCAGTAGAAGAATGAGATGAAAACCGTTCCGTGAGTGCTCTTTTTTGTGTGAACTAACAGAGCGTGCTGCTCTGGATTAGGAGATGCGGTTGACTTAGGCTCACGTTTATGCGTGAATAATATATTTGATGCAATGTGATCTCATGTAAGAGAGAGTTCGCTGTTATTAGAGTGTCTCGTTATTACGTATTATTACATTAAACTAAAACTTATATGCAATAAAATTTTAGCGAAAAGAGAAGGTGTTACCCAGAATGCATTTACCGTCGTGCAACGAATGTGTCAGTCAAGGACGAGCATATCACAGCTTCACTCCTTTGGTCTCCTACAATATTGGATCGAATTGGTTATTAGTTATTGCGAAGGTTGACTTCTTGCGTTGAAGAGTCGTTTATTTAATGTTTATTGGGATAATTGTCTGTGACTAAATGCTTTTTAGCTGTGAATTGATAGTTAGGAAGATCATGTGGGAAATTTGAATCGTTAACTATGAATTAAGCTGATAATTATTGGTATATAGGTTTAAAGATTAGAAGGAATAAAGAGGCGGTTGTTCTTAATAGCTTAATTAGTAAATTTGAAATTTTAGAAACAAGCATGGAGCATATGTCAATGTTAGTTAGCATAGTTCGGTGCTTAGCATCGCTATGTTGCATCGAGGATGTTGTCAAATTCTTGGATTTCATAGGTGGTTCACGTTTTTTTAACTCTCTTATAAAATGTGTCGTTCGATGTGCTGCTTCACCTGGAGATATGACTCGTACATCCGGTAAACAAAGCATCAAATTAGAGGACGCTACTGTCAGTTTGCTTTCACAGTACGTTTTTCCTAGGAGTTTGTAAAAAATAAATATAGCAGTTTGGAAAAAGTCGAGTTAGAACTGAGAATTGTTAGTGTAGATCTACAGAATGGAGAGAATAAATGCCAGAATTGTTATAAGCATGAATCCAATTAATTAAAATTTATGAAATCTTAGTTATATAACTTAGAAGTTCTCATATCCTTTGAAGCTATTTTATACTCAGAATTAAAAAAAATGTTCCAGATGTGTTACTGTTGGTGGCTCACATCGTCAGCGCATAGCTCACGTTTTATGTTCCTTGTTAAAAAGTACCGGTAGCTTCAATGGTGCAATTCAACAAATGGTATTGAAATGTATTTTCGACGATGAGATGATTCCTGTGAAAGCAATCGATGAAGATACTTCAATTTGTTTCCTGTCATTTGACATTCCAAGTTTCTTTTACAGCTTTTTTTCATTTCGTCTTTTTTACTTGTAAAGGGATTAAATATTAAAGACTATTTTTCTCTTTGAAATATTTTTTGAAAATTTATTTCCGCTGCAGATCGTATTTTGCATCCATTCTTTGGCTGTACGCGGAGGGAACGTTTCTTGAAAGTATCTTTATATACCTCCATGGATGAGGTTTGTGCTCTGTGTGAGCATAAAAACACAAGTGATTTTCGGCAGCTCGCAAAAATTGCTGTGAGTGTTACTTTTTTCTAAAATTTATTTATCCAACATAATCGGCAGGGGCAAATTAAGTCAATGATCGAGAAGTTAACTGTACAAATTGTTACAAGTAAAGCTGTTGCAAATTTTTGTGCAATTCTTAAATAAGTTATAGAAAACGTTCATCGAATGAAAGAAACCCTTTCCCCTCCTTAAATATCAATTTATTTCACTTCAAAAAGACCTCATGCATGAAGTACAGTAAAGAATTATACTACATTTACTGTGTGATTAATTACTGACTTAGTGTACAGTTTCTCTTACTATTTCTAAGTGATATTCCAGTAAAAAATCTATATAAAAATTATCAAATGAGTTCGTAATTTTTCAGGCACCACTAGATGAACTGCATCACTTCTCATCTGTTGTTAACAGTCAAGGTATGATTTTTGAGGAATTTGATTGATGATTTGGAATGTGTATGGAATGAATGCAGGATTTTTCATTTTTCATCCAATGTGTATGGAATGAATGCAGGATTTTTCATTCAGATCTGACGACAGCTTTTCCTCCTTTCAATTCTTCACGTCTAATGGTTCGAAGTTGTAATGGTTTAGCCGAAATGATGGGTGATTGGAAGATTGGGCAGTTACTCGGAGATTTATTTATTTCCGGACGTTTAACGTCTTCGGCCTGGTAAGTTCTTTGATCATAATTTTTGCTTTTCTACTACAAATCCATGATAAACAAATGGTATTTATTATTGGTGAAATATTATTCTTAATGCTGTGCATGCTGTTCAGTTGGTTAAGTTTCAATTAAATTTCAATAGTATGTGAAACTGAAAGCAGTAATAATAGTTCTGTATAATGGAGCATGTAGCAAATATTCAAATATCAGGTAATGAAAACGTTCAATTAATTTAGTATACTTTGCAGAACATGAGAAAATTCAGCCTGTAGCAGTCAATTTAGAAAGGAACGCGTTTCTTGATCTATTTTTCTTTTTTCTATATATATATGTATTTTGTTTTTAGTTTTGCTTTTCTAAGTCATTCTATTTCGAAGTCATGTATTTTACAGGAAGCAAAAAATAGCCGGTGGCGATACAGCAAAAAAAGCAGTTGAAGATAGCGCTGATGGCTATTACACCGTTGCTCTTTCGTTTATTCAACGCTCAGGTTTATCTTCAGCTTGTTGATAAATTAATTAAATCTAGCTGGATTAAAATAAACGAAATAAGTGATGAATGATGTTCTTAGCTACTTAAGAAAAGCTAACAATTGTGCGGAACTTCATCGACCAAGGACTATTGCACTTATTTTTCAAATTGGTCCCATGTTCCATGTTCTGAGTATAATTTTTAACCAATTTAGCATGGTTTATTAAATATCTGATTATTTCCACACACTTTTGTGTTTTTCTTGGAATTGAAGATTATTCAATCTTTGTTACACAACTGTTTTTGGCAAATTATACATCAGACATTTTCCATGCCTATGCTAATGGCCTCGAATTTGTGTTTTTTATAAGCAGCGGTCAAATAATCACTACTCATTAAGGAATAAAATTTGGTTGTTTGAATGAAAGATGAATTTAGCAGTTGTTCCAGGTTTAACAGGAGATGCTAATACCGTGCTATGTCATAAGTCAGATGTAACGCTCACGGAACAAACATCAACCTTGCAATACTTTGCACGTGCTAGTGGTCTTGCACTTTTAGCGCTGCATTTGCAAGTACATCATCCATCATTCAACTCTCCTACCGTCATTTCTTCATTCAGGTTTTGTGTCTTTTTTATATTTTGTTAAAAGCTATAGATGGACCAAGGTCATACATTAGGAGTCTAGTTGTCCATTAAGATATTCTCTGCTTCATTCCTCACATTTACTAACGGTTAAAGTTTATTGCTTTTGCAACGCTTCACATTTCAAACACTGAGTGGAATGCTGAAGTTGTTCTTCAGACTTCCATGTTTAAGGGTTTTTCTTTTTTTTTTTTTTTTTTCATTACTTTTAGTTTAATGTGGTTTGTTACTATGTTTAAGATGTCATGAGAGATGTAATGTAAAAACTGGAGTTGTTTTAGGGACTCAAAAGTGAAATCAGCTGAGCAACGATGGCTAATAGATTCATCAGAAACGGTAGCTATGAACGAAATGTTACCATCCAGTTATGCCTGTCCAACATCAATTTTTTCTTCGCCTGATCTATCGGCGGGGGAACCAGTATACAGTACGTTATATGTACCCGTTTTTGGTAGTGAAACCGATCTGGGTCCAAGCTACGAGGATTTCGAATACATCGATTCGGCTGCTCCAGGAGAAGTAAAGGGATGGACATATTATCCATTATTCTCTCAAACAGATAATTCCGGAACTCATGCAACGGTCAGCTCTCATCTTCAGCATTTCAATTTCTTATAACTCTTTGTCTTCATCTTCGCGCTTGGCTAAAGTCCTTGTAAAAATGAGATTGTTAGTTAAGTATCTGACTAAAATGGAGATTTATACTGATGCTTATAAGTTGTATTTAGCCTAAAAAACTACAAAAGATTGGTTCACAGCCGTCGAATCAAGCTCTGTCGCCACATGTGGTCGTCTCTTTTAGCTTATTCTTAAGACTGGAAGGTTATGCTGAATTACTGGTAACATACGATCGTAAACGTGCGAAAGGCCTTCTGCGACTTGCAATGGGCGTTATCACTTCTGAAGGTAGTATCCCTTTTTATTTCATTTTTTCTGTACTAAAATTCTTTCTATGATTAAACGTAATATTTATATTTTTCGATTGTGGAGTTAATCCCGTTATTTGTATGTAATGTCTCATTTTAAAATTACATCCCGTCTGAAAGAACGTTGTTTCCTAAAATTTGTTCTAAGGCACTTTAGCACTGTTGGACTGCACACAGTTGCACAGAATTCTGAAATTCTGCATTATCACAAATAATAAATTTTTGTTCTTACATTGAAATGTAGAAAATGGACGTAAAATTCGGAACAACAAAGCAGCTTGTTACGAACTACACTTTGCTATAAATTGCTGTTTTATCGAATATTGTTTTTCTAAGTTACAGCGTCGCTTGTAAGCAAGCCGCAAGTGTTGAAACCAGGTGTATTTCACAGAGCTACCCAGTCACAATCCCAATCGAAGCAGAAGTCGGAATGCGAAAATCTTGGTTCATTGCCTTTTATTGTTCTAGGAGAATTATTCAATAAATATTTACCCTCTACAGCTGCTGGAAAGTAAGTTATGCTATGTCATATTATCATTGTCATTATTGCGGTAAATCGGATCAAATAAAAAATCAAGAACAAAAAGCAATAAGACGCGAGATAAAATATTCAATATTACTAATGTTCTTGTTTCAGGCCACTTTTTGTAGTTTTGAAGGTAGAGTAATAAGTTAAGGTACAGTATGTTATAAAGGCATAAAAATATATATAAAACATTATTTAAAAATGGGTCTTTTATCAATATATACTGCAGATCCTTGCGGGAAGCTGCAGTAACCAATGGCGTTTTAGACGTTTTGTTAGATTGTTTGGCCCATTATACCCATCAAAAACACAAGGAAAAGTCTATCCGGCCATCGTCATTTCCGCCAGCTCCTGAGACGGTAAGCACATTTTTATACAAAATGTATTTTATTCAGTGTTAATTCTTTGCACATGGCTCTTGTACAGGCTGTTTTGGTTGAGCGCTTGTTGCGAGGCTCGATGGAACAGGAACAGTCATTGAGCGAGGGAACCAACCTTGGCCTCCGCGCAGAAGAACGTATGAATAGTTCTGGAAATGCTGGACCAACAGCAAGTTCTGCTTCGAATGCTACACAACAACACAGTTTTTGGGCTAAAGGTACTGGTTTTGGCAGTGGAACTACGCAACAACAGTGGAATGTTGACTTACATGTCTTAAAGCGAAAACAGGACGAACAAAATGTAACTCATCTGTTAAGGGTATGTTTTGTTTCTTTGGCCCAAAAGGGTTCTCGCTCTATTCAGTCATGATTCACTGACCAATTATATAATGGGAAGAGAGTTTTACTCACTTTGCTGTTCCTTAGACATTTATGTTTTCAGAGATATTATGAAGAATTTTAAAATTCAGAAACTCTATAACTCATTATCTTATCAATACAAATTATAGGTACTTTCAAGCTTTATATATCCTAAAATTAACGAGTATTTGGAAGCGGAAAAGAGTCGAGCAAATAATATCAGTGGAAGTAATACAGTTGCTCCACTAGCATCTTTGGATTCAGAAGATATTGAAGCACATAGCAGAAGCCAGAGTATATCACCAATGTCTATGTCAGGTAACACTCTAATTGTTTTATGACTTTATTCCAGAGATTTCATTTGTTTTCCAGCTTCTATCGCCTAGATTTTATCCTTTCTCATAACTAAGGATTAATTCTTTCTGTTAGATTCAACTAAGATTCTCTTTTTAGATTCATTGATGCCAGGACCTTCATCGGGATATGAATCACTTAATTCAGCTATTTCATCAACTGTGAAATGGTCCTTGAGCTCAGTTGTAATTAAAATGCTCTCTCGTTCCTGTTTATTACCAGCTATTTGGGCGTACCTTAGAAATGATTCCGGTTTGTCTTGTTTCACATGGTCCAATTTTTTGTATTGAGTGACCTAGTCTTCTGGTGACAACCGCTTTCAGTTAATGTTCTTCATTTCCCTGATCTCATTTTTGAAGGATTTTAATATTATACTTTTTTGATTCATTGCAGTCTTGGATATATCTCAGCACGTAGAATTGTATGAATCAGTTATGCACATAGTAGCAGCATTGGCACTGAGTCCAAAGTCAACAGGTGGAAACAAAGAAGATGAGATTACTGCATTGCTTTCTGAACCAGAATCAGGGTGCTCAATGAACGCAATGCTAAAGAAGCTGTTCGACTGTGTTTCTGCGTATCTTACTAGGCTTGCTGTTGAATCAAACGAAACTAGATTGCAAAAGTATGGATTTCATTAATGAATGTTATGATGAGGACAAATTTAATAATGATAATTCTAAAGAAGATAAGTTGGAAAATTATTGCGAAAGTGGTCGTAATGTTTTATTTTCTTAGTCGCTTTTTTTCATATCTTTTATTCTCTTACTGAAAATTCTCCTGCTATTCATATATTTTAGCACATCATTAGGTAAAACTGTAACTCCTGCACATCGAAATCCTGCAAACATATCGTAGAAATATCATCGTCACTGTAATAATAAGAAATATATATATATTAATCACTTTTTTAGTCTAAATATTCAGCAAACTGCTGAAAGCAATGAAGAATCAACGCAAACCCGCGAAGAAGGTCTCATGCGACTTGCACCACTGATCACCACAGTTTATGTGGTTCTTTCGAAGCGTAAATTTTTGTTCTTTTTGTAACTTTATTTCACTATTTCGTGAATATTTTTAAAATATTCTGGAATAAAGTTCATTCATGTTTTATTAATTTAAATTTTGTTAGTTCTCCGTAAAGCAATCAGTTCAGTGATAAGTAATCATTGCTTCAACCGTAATTGCATCTCTGTTTTGTAGTTAATAGAAGCTTTTATAGGAGTGAAAGAATTACCTGTGAAGTCATTGAATATTGAAAAGGATGCAGTTACTGAAGAAGAAAGATATATGAAAATTATGAAGGCTTTGCAGTTTGGTTAGCGATTCAGTTTTCATTAGTTACATTAATTTTACTGCTTGTGTCTATTGCAAAATTGAATAATCAGATTTGAGTATGTTGTGATTATTTTCCAGATACAATATCATTCTTCGCAGAAGGTTCATTCATTCCATATCATTATGAAAATTCGCTTTCCTCTGTTGGAACTAGCAGTTCAATGGGGAAACGTACCAGACGTTTGGCGCAAGAAATTGTTACATTGAGTAATTCACTGCCACTGAGTTTAAGTAGTTCTGTTTTTGTTCGTGCTTGTGAAGAACGACTGGATGTCATGAAGGTGTGTTCTCGTTTTGGTTTGCAGATTTTCTGAATTGGACTTTCTGGATTTTCTTTTTTGGTTGTTTTTTTAGAACTACAATATAATATTTTTTAAAAAGACAGAAACTATAAAAATAATTATATGAGTGTAAACAACGTAAAACGAAGTATAAAACGAAACAATGAAACAGTGCATGGCACTGATACAGAGAATAGTACTACTCAGATTTCAATTAAAATTGTTTGATTTGTACTTTCGTGATTTCGAGTGTTCTTTGTAGGTGTTGATCACGGGTCCAGCAGATACTCCGTATATGAATGGATGTTTTGAATTTGATGTTTGGTTTCCAACCGACTATCCAAATTCACCTATGCATATAAATCTTGAAACGACTGGCAATCATACTGTTAGTTTCGTTGATGATTTTTGAGAACTGTTTGCGAAATTTTTTTATCAGAACTGTTTGCGAAGATATCTATGATTTTTTTAATATTAGTTTTTTCAAAAATATTATCAGCACATTTGATATGAATTATAGGTTAGATTCAATCCTAACTTGTACAATGATGGGAAAGTATGCTTGTCGGTACTAAACACATGGCATGGTCGACCTGAGGAACGATGGAATCCAGAAACTAGTAGTTTATTGCAGGTAAAGAATTGGTTGTCATATATTATCCTTTTTCTTAATATGATTATCTGTTATATCTGTATCTTGTAGTTTTTTCATTAACTGCATGTCTTGGTTTTTACTGAGCTATTGATTCTCATAATGCGTATTGTTTGATTTGCATAAAGTATTTTTTGAGGTGATTGTAAGTGTGCAGTCTTTAATCTTGGTAGCGGAACCGTATTTTAACGAACCAGGATACGAAAGATCAAAATGTACTCAGGCAGGACAGCAGGTATGTATTCCTTTCTGTAACCTGCTTTATTTTGCAGTTATCTTTTTGAGCAAAACTTGTTCCCATTAAATTAATTAATGGTTTGCATGGATGTGATTTTTTCTATTTGCTGAGTTCTTTTCACCCAAATCTCCCATTTTTAAATCCTCTGTTATACTAAATTTTCATTTATGCCACGAAGTCAATTTAGGCGTCGCGAGATTATGATGCTAATATTCGGCAAGCAGTGGTGAAATGGGCTATGCTTGAAGTGATACGGCACCCTCCACCAGCTTTCGCAGATATCGTGAAAAAGCATTTTTGGTTGAAACGGAAGGAAATATTATCACAGGTTGCATAATTTTGGAAGAACACTAACATCGTGGATCTAAATTGCTTATTTTGACCCATGAGATCGAGCAAGCATGTATCTTAAGAACCCAAACTTAAGTTTTTTAATAATCAGTTATTATAGTTCACTCATTTAAAAATCGAAGATCTATTCCAGTCGAGTACCCTATACACATGTGCCTGAGTTCTATTATTTTGAGATATCCAAATGGATTTCTGAGATGGAACAAACAGTGAAACAACAACGTGGAAGTGGGCGGAGCATTCACAGTCACCTCGCTTCTTTAAAGGTGTTTTCGATCATTTCAAGTTCTTCAAGCACCACGTCTCTCTTGCCAACTTGCAACTTTCTTATATATACAAACCTTACTGCAGACTACCTTAAGCTCCTGCCTCCCAATGTCGATAGATTTTTTTTTGAAAACTTGATTTGCTTCACTGAGCATTTGGTTATTCAGAGGCATGCTGCTGCATTGGAGGATGAATATCGACGGATGGAATGTCCTGCAGATCTTCAAAATATAAATGTCTCACTCGCTCACCAAGCAAGTATCTCTGAAAACATACAGGCTGATCTAACGATGGGTGAACAACAGCCACAAGGTTCGGATGATTCGGCACAGATACCTCACGACAGTTTGAAGAGCCTCTCAGTGATGAAGATTCTCAAACTATGAAGGCTTTCATTACTTTTTTTCCATGAGAAATATTAAAGTTTATAAGCAACAAGTGCTCTTCGTGTCTCCTGGGAATTCCTCATTATAACAAAATTCTGGGAATCCAGTGAAAAAATTCGGAGATTGTAGCAGAAAATTACATAGTACGGTAACCTCGCGCTTACATCATATGGCAGCCTGTTTGCATTAAAAAAAAATCGAGTTGTATTATGGATTTCACACACTTCGACTCTCTACATGCTACTTGTTTCCTCACTGCTTCACGAAGGGGACAGTTTTTCTTTTTAGTATATTTTGAAAACTTTGATTCATATGTGTAGTCATTCTGTTATGATGATCTTTGAAATCTCATTAAACAATGTAAATATCAGAAAAATAGGAGAACCAGATGAGATGGAGCGTGCATCAAATAACGGGTGCCATATTGAACACCATCTTTTCTGGCTTTGTTTCATGGAACAAAGCAACATATGTTGGAATTTTCTTTTGCCGTTAAAAATGTTTCTTGAAAACTATAGCTGAAATAATACTTTTAAACGTTTCTTGTTCACTATTTAGAACACATACAGGAATTCTTTGATTTATAATCAATGCAATCTTCATATATTTTATATGTGTCTAGGATATATCTGGTCTCCGAACTAACTACCATCGGTATACTGAATGCTGAGGCGGCCGATCACGGCCACGGCTTCTGGCACGCAAAGAAACTAGTTCTGGATATGGCTCATATCGGAGTGGATGTCTGAGAGGCATCGGTACTTGTGGCATTCTTTCGTACTCATTGAAATTCCGATATCGCCTTGGGCTCCCGCACCATTCCCCACTCATTTGTCTTCTTTCACGAAATCTGAAAGTAGATGAAGTCAATGTTTAATTAATTCGAGTCATCTTATACGAGCAGTTATAAATTGCGAAATGAAAACTAACTGATTTGCAGATGGCGGACAGTTGGACATGCGATCGTCTACGTAGGGTCCCGCTGGAGCCCAGCATGATGACTGGTAGTACCTGTTGTTATGCGAATCTATGTGGTATGGTTCGAAAAGCGGTCTAGGACTATTACCAATGCCATGTTCAACCATTCTTCGTCCAGCATCGCTTAATCCATGTCGTGGTATCTCGCGCGAAAACCCTATTTGAGGTCGATAGGGCTGAAATAGGATATTTTCATGCACGAACTGTGCAAAATAGTAAATAAAAAAAGTATAGAATCTTTATTATACAGTAGATTCTACTCTGAATTGCCTGACTCACTTCTCTGTGATAAGTAATGACGGCAGGAGATTCTAAAAAGCTTTTATTAGAACACAGTAGATTCTACTCTGAATTGCCTGACTCACTTCTCTGTGATCCATATTCATGTCTTTCAAAGTTCGTGGCAGATCAACAGCTCCTGGCAAACGTTTTGCAGCAAATACATGTCCTTTTTCAAACTGCGGGTCTTTGTAAATCATCATAATAGCTTTATTTTTCTAGAAATTATTGTTATTTATATCATGAAATGTATGAATCATGAAATAAGGAACATCATTCTCATGTATGAAAGACAAAATGACTAACAATATGAAAAATAAAGGATTTGGTAAATCCAGAAAGTACGACTCACAACTATATCCGCGAATTCGTCAAGTGAAAGTGGAGATTTATAATTTTGTCCTTTCGTTACAGCTTTCGCATCTACACCAACAGTACCAGCTATTCCAAATGTTAATGTAGTGTCAATTGCTAAAGCGATCGAGTCTGGAATTTATAAAAAATCACCTTTCGTCCTCATCATATTTTAAAGATAATTTTAAAATTCCTTTCGCTTCCTCCTTATAATTTGCATATATATATGAACATGAGAAATTTGTCTTGACTTAGAATCTTTGAGACTGTTTCACAAACGTTCTTAATATTGCGTAAATATGAGCACCGCGTTTATTTCCCGTGCTTTATTGCAACCTCAGTATATGTCTAAACATCAAAGTTCAATCAATAAATTTTAAAACGGAGTTGTTTTAACTGCACGGACAAATCGAATACAAGTGTGTACCTTCTTTACCGTTTTCATACAGCTCCTCCGCGAATTTGTAGAAAGGATGTAAAGGTCCAACAAATAGCCGATCAGAACCTCTGGAATTCCTTTCCTTTTCAAAAGCGTCCAGTTTGTCCTCCATCTTCAAAGTATTATCAATTTTCATAAAACTATATCGTTAACACAGTAGAAGCAAATAATTAAATAGACAAGGTCCTAACCAAACTTGACACTTATACCAATTTAAAATAAATCAGGTCAGTATTAACTATCATACTGATAAAAATTCAAATACTCGTGGCCTTAATAGAAATTTAAACCCATTCATTCCATTGCCCGCGTTTTTCTAAAAGAAATTGAAATATAAATATATAATTTTGATTTTACTGAATGGCGAAATCTTAAAGTTTAAGGCAAAGATTTTATTATTTTGCTGGCAACGGTCAAAAAAAGGAACCGGCTTTAGAACTTCTAGAAGTCGTTTTTCATCCACAAACGGTAGTAATGCAACTCCTTGCCACGCACACTTTTTACCATTTAAATCAATAACAAAATTGTCAGGATAAAAATCGATTATTGGTGAGACCGGTGATATCATCAGTTCTTGCCAAGCTTCCGGCAAATGTATCCTAAATGTGATCTTGAAAAGATCTGAATATTTCCTTTTTTATTTCACTAGATATAAATCAAATCAGTCCGCGAATTATTGATTTACATTAAAAAATATTTTTTCACAAATGCAGAATAATTAATTGGATGTAGTAAGAATAACTCAGAAGTTTACCATTGATATACCAGATATTTGTTACCCTTAAATATAAAAAACAAAAATAAAAGAGTTCATGCTGACAATCTTCGTTTTTTTGTCCATCTGAATTGCCTCTATTTTAATAAAACAATCTCCAATTTCTTATTAGGTATACCTACCTGCTTGCGGCTGGAAAGACGCTCATAAGTTGTTGTAGTGGTTTAAAAGGTTCGGTGTATGCACTGAAGTCAGGCTTGAACTGAGAAATTGAATCGAAATCTGATGCGAACGGAGCGTAATGAAATGGATAGTACCAGTCCCAACTCACACAGCCCTGAAGCTTGAAAATTTGGCAAAATGAAAATTTAAACATTTGTTTATCTATGAAAACGCCTCATTACCAATAAAAATGCAAAAAATGCCTTATTACCACTAACCTGATAATAATATCGTAATACCCAGCAAAGGCCTTCTACATATGCCAAAGCAACTTTACGTCTGAATACAATGTCTTTGCCGTCTACTTGAAATTTGCTTTTATAATACCGATCTTTCCATCCATCTTCCCACAACCTCACTTCGTCAAAGACTTCGTCCTCTGAACTGGAATCATCTTTCTGAAAAAAATACGAAGTGTTTGGACTGACATATAAAAACATAAAATATTAAAAAGTTAAAGTTGCCTAATACATCTTTAAAAAATTGAAGAATTCAGAGATAAAAAGAAAAATTCCTAGCCAATTCGTGCTTGCGATCACTGCTTTCTGGTATATTATTAGCAGGAACATGTAAAGCAACATTTTTCACTATCTGAGTTTGCATTGTTTCGGCAAAATTAAACGCCTGAAGATACGAATTATAAATAGCTAGCAATACATAGTGGAAATAACAAAAACCAATAAAGCCTGATCTGCTATGTATTAAAATGTATTAAAACACAATCAGCTCTGTTGCCAGTCTAAGCTGCAAAACAAAATTTCGATCAAATAATCTCAGTGTAGCTAAGACAAAAAATGTTTCCCTTTACCTGCAACCGAGCAGTGCGTGCCATTGCTCTAGTACTGGATCCACTGAGATACATGGGCCCATTAGTTTGCGGTGCGAGAAGAGAACCTCGTGATGGGGTGTACGAAGGTGTCGTATGGAATCGTTCACGTCGTTTCCTTTCTTTGTTTTTTCTTTTGAATTGTTGCTCTCTTTCCTCGAAAATATTCGTTTAAAAACATGAAAAAAATTTGAAAAAAATTTGCAAAGAGTAATAAAAAAATGAAAGACTAACCAGATTTCAAAAGAGTAATAATAATACCAAACTTACTATGCCTAGATCACAGAAAATAAAAAGAACTGAAGCTTCATAAAAAGTGGCAACTAACCTGCCTCGACTTAAATATTTCATCTTCTACTTCACCCAGTTTATCAAGTATAATTTGAGTCCTTTCAATATCAACGATGCCAGAATCAGTGAGGTATCTGAAAAAATGAAACTAAGAAAAAGTAGGAGTAAAGTACACAAAAATCAGCAATGGATAATTAAATTACGAAAATCGACAATTTTAGTTTTTGGAATGATAACATTTCGACACAAATCGAGCACAGTGAAGAGCGAATATTCAAGCTCTGATTTTGTCGACTCCTAATCTTGATAAACATAAAAGATGAAAAATAATACCCCTTCATTTTACAAACCATATCTTTGTACAGTTTTACGAGTCTATCAATGGCATTCTCCCGAATTTCTAACGACGGTAAATGAGGTAGAAAATCGTTGCCAACAAAAAAGCACATGAATACCTGAAGAAATAAAAATGCACTTTCCTATAAACGATAATTTAAATCCTTCCAGCGCTTCAATTTCAAAAATCATAAGTAGAAAAATCAGCAATAATGTGTAATAAAATAAAGCAAACTACTGGATCAGTAAACACTGCGAATTCTACTTTTTAATTCAAATCACTTAAAAATTTTAATTCCTCACTGCCAAAATATTTCACTTCATCACCCACTCCACTTATGCCAATGTTATTTAATGTCTTATAAAGTATTTAATCTGACCCAATCATCGATAGCCCGTTCCAGATCAAAAGGTGTGGAGAAATTAGGTATGTGCAGTTCACGTTCCAGGTATTCACGGAGTACAGGCAAGCGAACGAATATGAAATTTGTTTCTTTTTGTAATGGAGATGACTGACATTCCGAATCGTCGTCACGTGCCAATCTAGAACTTTGAACTTTAATATCACAGTTTTTTTTAACATGAATCGAAACAAAAATAAAACTGACACGATCAGTTCACTTCCATTTGAATCTCCCATTAAAATATTTTTTCCGAAAATGTTTACCTTCCCAAATTAATCAAGTCCCCGTTTTATGTTTATAAAACAGAAAAAGCACCCTTTGCAGTCATTTAAGTCATGACCATATTGCCCACAAAGGTCACATGGTCTCTGCTGATTTGGCATAAATTCTTCTCTTATAATATTGAAATTAGGCTCATGAGTAGCCAATCCCAACATAATCAAGTCCGCATCCGCTCCACACAGGCAGTGTACGGTATTGGGATCATGAGACGGAGATGCTCTTTGTCGTCGTATAAAATCCATGATTTTGTGCTCACCTTCTCCTGGCACATTTGCATCTGATAAGATCACCTTAAATTTAGTCATTTAATCTGCTAAGAAACGCCAAAAAATAGAAATAAGCATCTTTTATCTCGAAATTTCTAAAATCCTAAACATTTTTCAAGTTTCAAAATCTTTGCCAACTGCTTACTACATAGTAAATTCAAACAATTTCAAAAAAACAGAGATTATGACAAACTTTACCGCAATTTTTTCCCAACCTGGGTCACTGTTCAGTCGTTGATGGACATAATAACGAAGAGCAACAGCTAGCCTGAAGATAATGCTCAAAATAAATCCAAAAACAAAACTATAATTATATAGTTGCTAAAACATTGCTCTGTAAATTCATGAACTTCGGGTAAGCTTACCGTGCCATGAAAGGTGTGCCAGGTGTTATGCAGTTACTATCGAAATGTTCACTTTTCCTTTCAGGCGGTAGTGGATAACCTTCATTTTCTAGTCGTGATCTTGTTTCAGCAATTTGTTCAACTTTGTCAATAGCTTCCTTGGAGGCACGAAAACGTCGACTACGCTGTTGGTTCATCTGAAGCGTACTTTTATCAGCTATTGAAAAAAAGATGCTTAACATATAAATTAGCTTCTAATTCAATAAAACTTGGAATGATCAAAAATTATGCATAATACTGTTTGAAAATTTTATATAAATAGTATTTTCAAACAAATATAAAATGTCACATATATCCTAAAACAGTAACCTTCGCTCTTGGGGCCACACCATCAATTGCCATATAGAGAAGTTTGCGAGGACGAACGATTGCAAACAATCGATCTATATATTCGAAAATTAGTGTCTGAAAGGAGCTATATGTAGTTAAGGAAAATGCTAACAGTGACTGGATTCGTCTAACAAAGGCTAGAATTAAGGTAAATCATGCAAAAGCCAAACTGCATTTCGATTAATATAAAAAATTTCGCTATCTAAAACACTAACAAACATCTCCTCTTCTGTTTTGGGGGAGGGTCGATCCTCTGGATGAGTACATGGATGAATAATACCATTCATGTCCAGATATAAGTTATCGAATTCCTGAAATAAATTCTGCAGTAATACTGATACATTCTCGTCATTACAAGTTAACTATACCTATATTTTGGAATCAAACAGGTTTTCATCTGAAAATGTCAGTTCACTGGATTATGCGATACACATGCACCTGGAAATTAGGGTTTGGATTGACAGTATTAACGGGAACCCGAACTCCATTTAGATCACGCGGCTTCTCCTCTACAGCATCCACAATCACTGATGGATATTTACGAGTCAACCATCGAAAAAAAGCTGGGACACCCATAGTAACAGTTATTTTTTATCCTAAAACATTCTGCAAGATTATATAAAACTTTCAGATATAATAGGCAAAATGATTTATCAACCGGAACACGTAATTCACCAATACATAACCCATAACCTCACATTATGAGCGCCACACCCACACGTGCCCAGCACTCCCATTGACGCCCTCCGAACATCCAGGTTAACACGGATGCAATACATTAAGTTGGAGGAGTCGTTGCGAAAATTGCGGTCCCACCACTGATGGAAATAATTGGAATTTTAAGGTTCAATCCAGTACGGAAATACCCTGAAATAAGAGAAATTGCTGTTTAACATTCGCCATATTCAGAAGAAACTGCGATAACAGCTCTCTGGATTACGTCTAGTTGAAGGTTTGCCACTTTCTCTTCCTCTCTCATTACATCTGTGCAGGTGAGGTAGATATCAACAGATGATTATCTGTTTCGATTGTTTGATAATGAACATTGGGAATAGAAATGGATAAAGAAGAGAAAAATAGTACAATCTAAGTACTGAAATGACTTACTTTCAAACAAGTAATATACTTTCGAACGAATAAAAAGATTTAAAAATAAAGGAATAAAATGGAAACGGGAATAATTTCGAGTGTTTTATCCATTTTGTTTCTAATTTAGATTTCATGCTATTTAAAACGATAGTTAGAAACATCGCTGATTTATGGATTAGTGAGAAAATTCTGTTATAGAGTTCTTGCCGTTATCAATCTTCAACTTGCCAACCATAATTGTCACCAAAGTTTCGACACCGATGACAACTACGAGAAGTAAAAGTTAAAAGTAAGCTTTAAAATGGCCAAAACAAATTTCAATAGGACAAAAATATTCTTGAAGATGAATTGCAGTATATGTAAATTAGATTCCAAAAAATGCTATTTTTTTAACTAGCAAATGATTGCAAAATCGGTGGAAGTATTCATTGAAAATACAATAACATAGTATAATATAATGTGTTACAAATTTTATTGCGTCACCGTAAATGAAACAGAGAAGACTTGAATGGGTATGGTACTACCAGGAAGGTGTTAATTCAGGTTGCGTAACCTGAGCTATTGTTTAAGGTCAAAAAATATCTTCAACGAGTTTGACTAACTTGGAATTTGCTTAATCCCTCTTCTTCATTAACCCCCGCATCATCTGTCCCTTCTGGTGCAAGCATTCGTATGGGATGAGGCACCCCGTGGTGCTCTTTTCAAGGATCTTCTAGAAGGACCACCTGCCTATCTATCTGTCCGCTACTACTTTCCTTACTGTTCTCTCAAAATACCAAGCCTAGAAGCTTCCTACCTTCTGGCATCAGTGTGTGAAGTGGATAACGGACACCGATTAGTGACCACTGTGTAGGTCAGTTATTGGTGCATGGACCTCCCTGATGGCGATAATCCTCTTTACAGCAACAACAGTAGAGCAACAGCATCAATACAATTTTACTGATCTGATAATTGCATTTACTCATTTTTTATTCATTCGTATACTTGTTGCTGATAACAACAATTAAACAATTTTATTTAATTGTGAAAAGCTCATTGACTGCCAGAGTATTTGATAAAAGATGTTCATTATGACAAAAGAAAAGCAATAGGTCAATCCCTACGCTTCAAAAATCGATAATGGGCAGTATGTATTCTAACTTTTCTCATTCACTTTTACAGAATTTTTCCATCAGATCATTAAAGTCTCTCTCCTTATAATGCTTTTCGAGAGTGGTTTACTGTGGTTATTGGTTCATCCCCGCTCAATTGTTATGGTCATTGATTCATCTCCGCCCAAACTTTTGTAAATTTTCATATATATATATGTCCATTTATTGTCGTTATTTAGCATAGTGAACGAAGTGCGTGATCGGAGGAGTTTTGCATATCATTAATATGCAAATGAGGTAGCATTGAAGGAGAACTATTAAACACGGGACTGTAAATCGTTCAACAGGCAGTTATGAGAAGATGGATCGCTGCATTATTTGACAATGAAAATATCACTTATACTTCTCATTACAAAATTTAGAACTTTGGAATACAATCTTTTTGTAAAACAGTTTGAATATTTATTAAAATAAGGGAAAAAAATATCCAGGTAATGACACATTACCAGGTAATAAATTGTCCTACCATTCTACGGTCACATATGAATTAAAGAACACAAAGGGGGAAGAAAGGGAAGGTTAATGTAAGTGTTTCATAGCTATTTGATCCGATCTCTTGATAATTAATATAAAGAATAGTTTACCGCTTCAGTAATATGATCATGTAATTAAACGTTTCCGTTTAATTACGTGATCATATTACTGAAGCGGTAAACGGACATATGTCTTACCGATTGCTGATGGCAAACACGGACACAAAATGGCTTCTCAACATTTGCTCTTTTCTAGCAGTTCATAAATGTTTAGTTGAAATGAAGGATATGACTAGACGATATTCTGTTGTCAAACTATTATACACGGATAGTAAGAATTATGAGCGCTTAAAATGCAAAATTCTTCCATTTTTTCTTCATAAACCAATCTATTTTGCAATGAAGAAAGAAACGGAAAAGACAGACATGTAAAACGATTATATACAATAAGTTCAATTTTTGGAAAGCCCATTTGTGTGAATAGTTCGGTTCATTCGGAAAACTATCCTTGCTTATTTCTGCGGAAACCCAATAACATGTCAATCACTATATTAGAGAGTTACAAGAGATACAACAATATACATACAATATCTCTTCTCCCATGAGGTAATTTTTTACAGAACAGTTGGTTGGGAAATAAAAGGGTTGCAATAATGAAATGTGTTAATTGGCGGGTCGCAGCGAGCAATTTGCGAAAGGACCTCCTCATACTCTAGGCCTCTTTATTAGGGTCATCATTAGCTACTCATATTTCCTCAATGTGTTTGCTATTTTCGGATTAATTTCCGGATTATTTGGGAAATAGTTTCTTAATTTTAAGCTAACTTAAAGAACAACTGTCCAAAGAATGACGTCGCGACTTATGCATACCTTTAATATGCTATCAGTATAGGCAGTCCTAGCCAGTTATTATATTTATCTTAAAGAAGCAAGAAATGGAAAAGTGACAGGAAGACAATGATAAATGAAAAATGTTTGAAAACTAAACATATTCATAAACTTGATCACAATTATAGTCTGGTATTCATAAAGTTGAAATTTCCAAGCTGATGGTTTTTAGTATATGGATTTTTTTCAAATTTTGAACTAAATAAATTATTTATCTTCCCGGAAATTTTTCGCTAAACCGGTATTTGTAATCAAACAATTAACACAGAAGCAAAGGCCGTTAATAGATTTAACACATGGTTGTACGGGTACAGGTATGGGTACTGGTACTGATACAGGTACAGAAAGCTTGACAAGCGCTTGCGTCGTCTCAGGCGCCAATTTGAAAGGTAGAGGTGAAGGTGATGGTTTAAAGAGCTCAATTGGTGCTAATGTACTTGGGGATACTAAATGTGGTGCAGATGCGGAGGTTGCTTGGAGAACTGTTGTATCATTGCTTTGGTTATTGTTTCGAAGCTCATCCAGTTTCCGCCGCAGTTCGCTATTTGCGTTTGTTAAGTGTTTGATCCTGAATGAATACTTTCAGACAATTCAGTAATCCATTTTCAGACTAAAGCCAGTTTTATCTCTTAGAAGTTCTCTGGCAAAAATGAAAGTCGAAAATGAGTGAAAACCAACTTAGAGCTGAAAGCGCTAGATACTGGGCATCTGGAATAATAGTTTATTCAGAGGCAGAGATGCACAGATCTGATTTCGATTACTTCATTTCCATTTTGTCCCTTGCTGTCAACTGAAAAGTTTAGACTTACCAATTGCTAGCTAGAAGCAATGTATTGATTTTGGACATTTTTCTGGGTCCAGTACGATGCGAATATGGCAAGCATTGACGGAGTTCATCAAGTGCATCATTCAGATCATGCATTCTTTTCCGTTCTCTTGAATTAATACTCATTCGTAAAACCGCCTGTTCCTGGAAATTTACAGATTTTTGAACCCAACGTCTATAATTATTGGAATTAAAATCATTAAACAAGCTTTTCGAGAACTGAATGAAAATTCATAATTAGAAATAATGAGTACCTCTTCATTAAGACTTTGAAGCTTATTCGATTTACCGGGATTAACTCTTTTTCGCCTTACATATGGTTCGATTTCTTCCATGCTTAACAGACTACTCTGAAAGAAGGAATGGAATATGGTATATATGTATATATCTTCACTTCATTAATGAGTCAAATAAAGATGTTTAGCAGAATTAGTATTAACTTGGCAAGTCTATATTTACCTTTTTGTTAAACTCATAGCATAATTTTGATCATTGGAATTTAACTTTATTAAAATTTTATTTTATTCTTTTTAAGCTTAATTTTATTTTATTATGAAATTCAATTAAAATTTGAATTTAATTTCATTACCAAAGCTGTTTGTTATGTATTATAAATACAATAATACTAAGTTTTATTACATGTAGTGCTAAAGTCCAAATAGCTATTTATTAGTCAAAACTCGCTCTCAGAGTGATGCGTAATGAAGCTCACGAAAGTTGCCATTAGAACATTTCGTCTGATTAATCCACCGAGTGTTATAATATGGCAGTGGAATAATATTGCACTAATAAGTATACTGTGCAGAAAGGTTATTAAACTTATATAAGAGTTGTAGACGTGATAGGTAGGTAAATAGGAGTAACAGCAGGAAGCTTACCGTTCTTGGAGAATCTTCTGAATCGCTCATGACGTGAATGTCCAATGGCTATCGAAGGAGACAAGCGGTTCAATAAGATGACCCTTCTTATTTGCTTTTAAAAAATTTCAGCACTTAAACAACATTTCCAATGACCGTTTCGTATGTAGCCAGAAGATGGTGGACCTTTGTCAGGCCAAAGTGCATAAAAACGTTCAGATATAAAGGCGGTCGTCCATGCACATTTGCTGATGTTGATGAAATAACTACCGTAAACAGAGGAGGGGAGAATAGACAGACAGACATACGCACACTGCTGCAAATGATGTGCGCCCCACGGTGCACATACACACAATACCGTATCCCACCCTCAACTGTCTCTTTAGCGATGCATGTTACAATCAAATGTTTATCTCGGCAATTATCAAATAACTTTTGATCGATGTTATATGAGTAACCTCACCGCCTCCGGTACACGGAAACTCTAGATTACCATTTCATTTACCATAAGATGTAAGAACTATCATTTTTCGGGAAGGAATATTCGAAATTTAATAAAGCCTATTCTATTTTGATACGACAATCTTTTCAATAATTCTAGCCAATTTCTATCTGACTAATTAAGTATTAGAAGAAAATGACAATTACAAAATATAAAAATTTAACTGATACTCCATGTAAGGCTAACGAGCAACTTCTCTCAAAATTCACGAATTGCTCTCAGTTGCCAACAGATAATGGCAACTTTATCATTTTTAATGAGAATAGTTTGTTAATATAAAATGTCATTATATTCAATTTTCAATGACTTCATGTTACTGATTCGACTCCGTGAGATGAGCTGAGATGGATTCTCTATACCATGTATGCTTTCGATACTGGCCTTCATAAAAAAGATCAAGCTTTACTATTTGTCTAACCTTGAATCATTTCAAGAAAAACTTTTTATTTAATTATCAATATTAAATGTTTAATGATATAAAGTGATTGATTTCAAGGTAATAACATAATTATGGGAATAGTTCTTACGACAAACCTGAGAAGTTTGAAATGGTTTTACAATAGTCTATTCAGGAAGGTTTAAATAGTGCCTCATAGCGAGAGCTTGATGCAAATTTTTGATCGCTTACAATATTGTGCTCCCACCGTAAAAATATTTTGCGCAAAATTTTGGCATAGCTAACGATATTAAAACATTGTAATTGAATACGAATTCTCATTCAGGTGGATCTTTCTCAGTATCCCATCCTGAAATATAATATGTCGAATAACAAGGATAAGTTAACTGAGTGATATCAGAATTGATTATTTAATTGAACAAAGTAAACAATATATGATGAATCAGCTCATTTTCATGGCGAAACAAATTTACAGAAATGGAAAAGAGTGAAAAGTGACTCGAAATGAGAGGAGATGATCAAAAGGATCAGAAGCAATTTCACCAGCAGGGAGCTGGCTGGTAAAACGGGCGGCATGCAAAAAACATTAGTGAAAAATGTCATTAACGATACTAACAGGAGGAATAAGGTGTGAAAAAAGAGAAATGGAGCATCCTTTGAATACACACAACTCTTTCATCAACAAAGAATTGCGATCTTCCCCATATCACATCGCATCTATTCAATTTACTAATTATTTTTTATTGCTTACAATGAAAAGTGTCTTAAATTTTTTGACACTAATAGCATTGAAATAAATGGGATGGAGAAATTCCGTTTGCACCACCGTGATCATTTTTTGAGTGATGCTGTACAACAGTCTTCTAAAAGAATTACTGTATTCTTTACCAATGACAGAATCTGATTTTAAACTTCTGTTTTCAAATTTTGATTTTTTAAAGAATTACACCGAAATGATTCAAGCTACTTAGTGTGATCCTTTAATTTAAAACAAAACATTCCTGGCTTTACAATTCTTTTGGTTTTAAATTTTTTGAAACTTAATTATTTAATTATTTCAATGAATTCTTCGAACACTCTGCAATCATTTTCCAAACGTTTTATAATAAAATGTTCGGCTTGAAGTTGAAAAACAGTTCGGTAATTAATACCATTAAAGGCAAAAAATTTCGAATAAAAATGATATTCTACTAAGATGCCAAAGCACAAAACTTATACCATTTTAGTCATACCTCGAAAATGACCTCTCAAGTTCACTTTACTCACCTATTTGAGTATAAAATTTTGAAATGTCTAGGAATGTACAACATTGGAGAAAATAATGCATGCAATTTCTAATCAAATAACAATCAAGAAAGCGGATGGTGCAGGGGAAGTTGTATTAAGAGATATAAACATGTACAATCGTTCTGAAAACATCTGAATAAATTCATTTATCTGATATCGACTGGCATCATTAATAAGGAACTTTTACTAACTGCCTCGATTATATCATTTTTCTCTTAAAATATATAAACATTTATATATTCGTTGGTTTGAAACTAAATTCAAATAAAGCATCAACTAAAGTAAACTTGTTTTTCATCTCAAAGAGATTTTTGAAAACACTGTCATCGATATGCGTTATATCCAATTTTTTGTCTGCATCACAAGACGTTCCATCTGTTCTGATTGACTGTTTTGGACAGAAAATGAATGGTTCGAAGTTCTACGAATGAGCTTTATTGAATTTATTTGAAAGGTTATCAGAATTATCTTTCATTTTAGATATGGGAGAATTTCTAATAAGGTGCTCATTAACAGTCTTCGTGTGGTTGATTGCATACCATACTATTTGTTGCACTGATGCCATGGACATATTGCAGTTCAGTGAAAATTTCATTTTATTAAGTAGCTTACTTCAGGTATGATGTCAGAGATTAATTTGATACTCCAAAGCAATGGCTATTCCTGAAACAAAAACCAAATGTTTTCACATGCTTACGAAGTGTTAAATGGTTATCACCACCAATATTTCCTGGGCCACAGATGATATGAATTTTTTCTTTATTACAATTGTGTGCTATCGCATGGGCGAAACTCAGATCTGCAAGTTCCATTGTTGAATGCATAAAGCTGAATAGCTTTCGGTTCTGTGCAATCGCATCATACTGAGTGATAATAACGCTGAAAAAAAATGGTGCAATATTTTGAAAAAACAAAAGTTTCTAAAATGAAAAAATCGATCCAACTCTTGTAATAGTAGTCATGTGTAGCGATTGATCAATTTGCCAACTGATAATCACAAATACTTGACTGTTAAATCATTTTCTTGAAATTATTTTCAGGATCTCAGGAAAAAATGGAGTTTTATTTTAACAGATATAAGTAATGAACATAAAAAGACAAAAATTAGACATAAAATATTTGGAGGACACTTCCTGACATCTTTATTATTCGTGGTTGCAAAAATATCTCTTATTAAAATATTATTGAAAATACAAATAATATGAATATAAAAATGTTAAGGATGAAAATAAACACAGAAAAAAATGCAATTATCAGTAAATATGAGGAGTAACGATATCATTGGAATTTAAAACACAAATACATAACAATCAATATTAAGTGAAACAAGTTAAAAAATGAATTCTAGTAGATGAGATACTGAAAGATTAGAAGGAAACATTGTTAGAAGAGGGAATCGGATCTAGGAACATTTTATGATGAAAAAGAATCCTTCATGAATACTTGAAAAGAATTAAAAACGTTGCAATTAGATAACTCTACTCTCGAAAACAATACAAGGCAATAAAATAAATACTAATCGGGTACTGTTTGCCAATGTGAAAGATGCAATCGGAAAAATATCTAATGATGAATAATATCTAATGAGATGAATATAGCAGTAACTTTATAAAGATTTCAGTAAGCTCTGCTGCTATGCTTTATTTTTATACTCACTTTTTCCTGCTCAAACTCAAACTTGACCTCAACATTTGAAAGAAATCATTTTGGTTTTCTGTCTCATACTATTGTTTTCTTTGATATCGGCTCTTATGCATTGGGAAAATTCCTGCATCAGTATCGATGAGACATCTAACACAAAGATCAAAATTGAAAATGTTAGATACTGTTTAAATTAATTTGATGTTCAAAATTGGTATTTAAGTTAATGATCGGAATGTACTATTCCGTTTTATTCCTTTTTTTGTTGCTGACGTAACTGTTGTTACAGTAGTGTTTTAAAAATTTAAGTCTAATAATATTATCAGGTTTATTTAATCCATTCAAAATTTTACATTTATTCCATTTCTTTACTAAACATCTCTTTACTAATATTTTCTAAAATATCTAGAAGCTATAAGAAGGAAAGGCTAAATTACTGCAAAGAGTGAATGCCTTTCTACTGCGAAATTTTTCTAGAATATGCAAACTTTCATTATTTTTTTATTTTTTAGTTTTTACCGCATCACCACCTTTCGTGCGATGCCAAATATTCGCAGCTATGGTTCACTCGAGAGCATCATTGATGAAGAAATTTCATCAGATATTCTGATACCACAACTGTACCCATCGGTCACTTTCTGTTTCATTGACTGTAAATCCATTTTTGTCGGCATCTAATCAGCATTCTTGCCGTGGTTTTAGAGATTATTTTGTTTCAATTTTAAATAATACTTTGCAAGTATTTTTTTAACTGCTTAAAATAGTTTTGAGATGGCGCATTAATTTCAATAGCATTCTAAGCAAATATAGGGTAAATGGTTTATTTTTCTTAGACATATGAAAATGAACTGAAGGAAATCTGAATACTTGTTTATATTCACAAAGTGCTAAAAAACTCAGCCAAGTATGGTATCTGTACTACATGATATTTAAGAAGATTTCAATTCAGCTTTGTCAATTGACACCGCTGGACGTAAATTATGTTTCACCGAAGTGCAATATTTTTCCTCTTTTCTAAGCGTAAAGTTAAAACTGATTAGGATTGATTAGAATGAATTAATAAATCAGTTTTCTTAACTAGTTGGATTAGCTCTTCAAAAGATAAACAAGGCAGCAGGTCTTGAGCGCACATTTCTTCGAGATTATATTAAACCTATACTGACCTTTCGGAGGAAATCTAAAAATGTAAATACAAATGTTAATGTCAATAAAAATGTTAATGTCATAAGATTTTCTAAGTAATGCTACATGAAATCTACAATAATATGAAATTGATGTGATATTGTTATGCAGTGAAGCGATTCAAATTAAGAATTAGCCTTGTTTTTCGTAAATTTTGAAAATATATCGTCTATATGCATTAGTGTTTTATGAATTTCAGATTATTGAAAGCTAAATATTCGGAGCTAAAAGATTAAGATTTGGAACATATGATCCAAGTGCTCCATCAGTTGCTATATCTTCAATAATTAACACTTTCCTAATCAATTTAAAATAGCTATGAAAGTTACTTGAAGCAATCATCTTAAAAACCAAATTTTTTATCTTATTCATTTCTTTCCGTTTCATTTGGTTAATTCAGGAAGTGATGGAAAATATTATATACTCCTCCTAAAAACTCAATGAGTAATGTAGCTATTTAATTTGATCAATACTGTACTCTTATCGCTTTCAAAAATTTTCAGATGAAAGTCAAATATTTAATTCCCATCAGGATGATAGTACATTTCGTCGCAGTCTGATAATTCAGATTGCTTGCTTTCTTATTTTGAAGTTTAAAATTATGAACTATAATTAATACGAGAGCTGCTGATTAATATGAATTAAATATTTAACTTTCATCTGAAATTTGGAAGTGACAAATAAATTCGAAGCGATCATCTCAGAAATTAAAATTTTCATTCTATTCAGTTTTTAGTCATCCCTTCGAAGTCGTATAGTATATGTTTTCTTTGCTTTTTTTTCATTGAATTATTTACCATTTTTCCACGCTATTCAATTATCGCCTAAAATCAGAATGAGTGGTTTAATCGATTGGATCTTAAACTGTGAGATTTTACATTCGCTTTTTCGTGATTATCGGAAAAAGAAAGATATTCTATTATCAATGATAAGCAAAATGATTTAGACCACATTATTTCACAAATCATTTTTAAAAATTTCAATATCCTTTGTAGTTATGTGTTTTCTTTGCTTCTAAATTTCATAAACTTTTTATAGGTATTCAATATACACTTGAAATGAAAAGCAGAAATGATTTGCAGCAGTTTTTATGGCTTAAATCTTCAAAATAAATTTTTTGTATGATTTCCATTGATAATGGACCTGTGATTTTCTTCTGTTGGCAGCATCGGTATTTTCATTTCTCTATTGTAAACATTCGTTTTAACTCATATCAGCATTTCAAGTGAACCCACATCCTTGTCCAAGCATTGAAATTTTCACATTTTATCTTTGAAAATATTCCTTTATTCAGCGATTCAGTTACTGTAAATCAAAAAATATCTTGTCAAGAGTACTCTCGAATCATATTCCTTCATCTTTTGTTAATTTACAATTTGGAAATTTGGTTTAATTGATGTATCAATTATACTTAACTTATTGACATATATATCAATGATCGGCTATATTACATTTTAGAATTTGGAGACCGGTAAATTTATAATTATAGTTTTGCTGAGAGAATTTGAAATAAAATAATTCATGTATATATTGCAGACGTCCGTCAAATCTGATGTTAGACCATGTTAGCAGTAAAATTGTTCACATTGATTTCGCAGATTGCTTCAAAATTGCAATGACCAGAGAAAAGTTTTCAGGAAAAATTCTATTCCGATTAACAAGAATGCTCATCCAGATGAAATTTTTGAAAAATTCAAATTTCGAATAGCATGAAATATTATATTTTTTAATAAAATTTTCTCTATGAATTACTGATTAAAAAAAATATGATTAGAGGGTGCATTTGAGAAGATATTTTTTGATTTACAATAACTGAATCGCTGAATAAAGAAATATTTTCAAAGGTAAAAAACAAAGATATGAGTGAGTTCACTTGAAATGCTGGCATGAGTTTGAATGAGTCTTTCCAACAGAGATTACAATTAATTTTTATTTCTTTCCACCAGTATGTTTTACTTATTTTACTTCATTTAATTTTATTTAACATTTGCTTACCTTACTTATGCTTTGCTGTTCATTATCCTCATTGCGAAAAGATTCTTTTACTTTGTAAAGTTTTCTGTAATTATTGAAGACAAGAAAAGATTGTAATTTTATTTTGATGTATGTTAATCGTGCAACAGAATTTGGGATGAGCATTGATCATTCTTCAACTTTTAAAAATCTCAGATCATTTTAATTCAAATTTGGAATTCAATGAACCAAAGTAGGTTGATGGACTCATTGATCAAGAAGTACTAGCTGAAAATTTGTGACAGTACCACATCGGCTTGTGTTCATTTTAGTAATACAAGAATCTTATTAATTTAAGAATGTTTTATTTTGATCGTTTCTTAGTTTTCAACTATCAGTTTTAAGAAAAATGAATTTGTTAGGATTTAACTGACTTTTCACAAATTATCAATCTATTTTAGATTACTGAATATCTAATTATTCATTTCAATACTCTACAAAGTATTCAAATACTTTTTGTAATTTCGTGAACTATGTATATCATTTATGTATGAAATGAAGTTAATTTGCATGAATATATTCTATCACGCAATGCAACAATCTACAGATTCTACAAATAATGATTACAATGAGCAACGAAGTTATGTCTAACCCTAATTTAAATTTAAGTTCGAAATGTTTACTGAAATGCTTCAGTAAACCTCGCAAATTTTAACAACAATTCTTTTTGTTGATTTCTTTTCTCCCATTTTTCCTTGGCTTTAATTCTTCAATTAACTTAAAAATATTTGACCAGTTGCATCGAGGACAGGTGGATGAGATCATGTAGTTCATAACGTTTATAAGCTGTTTGAATATAGCCCAACAAAAAATCAATAAAAAAGCGACTTTTCATTGACAAAAAAGAATTGGGATATGAGAGATCCGAGAGGTGAGATTGATAATGTCTTATTTTCAGTTTCATCAGTTTCATGACAATTTATCAATCTATAGTATTAACAGTAATTTATTGATAAGAATTTCCATCCAATTTTTATCATTAATAAGAATTTTTGTTTTTGATTTGTATTTCGCATTCATGTATTTGGTTTTTTTACTATAAATCTTTTAAACTAATTGCTTTTTTATGATTATTTTATCTTATCAGTCACAAAATATATGAGTTGTGAGTAAAAAATGGATATAATAAATTACAGTGATTGAATATTTGCTAACAAAATATTTCAATGTATATATAACAAAATCAGAACATAGATAAGAAAAGTGATTTCCACTAAATTATAATTAATGCTAATTAATTTCAAAATTAAATCAGGTTACTTTTTCGTTGATTATGGAATTACTGAATCAATCTTGAATAATATATTCCCTCATCTGATTTTCCAAAAGCAGATTGCATATTGATATTTGGACCATTAACGTGAAAGTCTCACTATATTTGGTTGAATTTATTCTTCAAATAAGAAATCACAGATGCGATGGAATAATAAATGATTGTAATTAAAAGTGACATTTGAGATGAAACAAATAATATAAATGTGTGCAATGACATATAGTTTTATTTATGTTTCCTCAAAGATACAATTTACATCTGATCGAAGAATCAACTATTGAAGTCTCTCGCGAGTATTCCGTTTTCAAATTTTCGATTCTTTTTCACAAGCCTCGAGTAGCACGTTCATTCAAGGCATCAGCTAGTGAAGCTATTTTTGTTCGTAGTTCCAAGTCATCCAATGCATCCTCATCAATAATGGGTACCAGATCATCTTCTATCATAGTTGTAGGTACTGCAATCATTTCCTCTGCTGGTATCAAAACATACTGCAAAATGAAATTTTTAAGATTTTTCAGAAAATAAGATAAAAAATAAATTTTTAGTAATTTCAAATTTTCCAACAATATACTGATAGTTAATAATATAGTGATAGTGACAGTGATAATTATAGTGATTGCATAATTATCATCTACTTCAGATAAATATGTTTTAATATTCTATTTTGTATACTTCAGTTTTTCTCTTACTTTCATTTTGCATTGCATATTATTATTTTAAATTTGTGCTGAAACTTAACCTTGGGTGTCTTAACAGTTTGTTCATCGGTTTCATAAATTTCATCCTCAGGCAGTTCAATAATCGGTAGATCATTAGAAAGTATGGTTGATTCGTTTTCGTTGTCACCGATATCCTCGGTATACGGTAATATCGGTTGTCTAATTGAATTGCGGGGTAATTTGACAATTTGATATTCGTCAACGGGTAGATCGGGATCATATCGATCCAATTGGCTTCGCACAATTCGTGCCAAAATTGCCAATTCTATATCTAGAAAATGAAATTTTGTGTGATACTTTGTATTTTCAGAAAATGAATCGAATAAATAAATTTCTTTGAAAAGTCCTCATTAATTAATAATTTTTATTTTGATTATGATTAATAAAATTGAGCATCAAATTTAACACATTTTCAAATACAAATGTTTTGCATTGAGTCAGACATAAATGTCTTCTTGTACTATCGGAATGGCGGCTGGAAGAATTGAAGTTTTAAAGAATATTTAATGTATTTTAAACTGAACTTTTTCAGAATTTCCTTTAAGCGGTGTATTTAACTTTTTAAGCATTGAAGAATTGTTATGTAAAAGTTTTTCCAAAAAAGAATCGTTTTTAATTACTTGCATAAGTAAGCTTTCAACAAAATAATCTTTGAGATTAACAAAATGATAAAGAATATTAGTTAGTTCGAGAATATTTCATACATAGGGATTAGTGGTTATGCTTAGAAGAAATGCTACTCCTCCGGCCCAATTAATCATATCATTTTTATTTACACAGTCAAAATTTCAAAATTCTAATTTGCTCCTACGCTAGATTTTGCTGCGATAGTTAGCCATCAATTGGAATAAATGACAATTTGGAAAAAAGCATGAATAAAATCAATAGATTATATAATTCATTACTTATTGATCCGAAGGAGTAGCATTTTTTGTATATAACTATATATATGGTACTCGGGTCACGTACACGGTGACCATTTTAGGTCTCCATATTTTCAATCTTCTCTTCCATTTTTCATTTTTTACTTTTTCATTCAAATTCTTACATTTTAAACATAATTTATTCTTTTCTTCTCTAATTTAATAAGTATTATGTAAAATTCAGACCATCAAGTTGATCTATCAGTTCATCATCTCCATCAGCATCATTACTATCAATATTACCATCGTTATCATTAACAACTTCTTGCTTCTTACGTATTTGGGCAATCGTTCGTCCAGTTGGTAGCCTTATCCGTTCAATCAATTGATAGCCTTGTTTTTCTCGATTCATTCCATTACCTGGAAACAATTACCTTTTTAAATGAAAATCCCAAAGATTTCATTTCTTTGCTTTCAAATTCTAAGGTTTAATGCATAAACACAAATTTATTCAAATTTTGACAACGAAGTTCAAGATTAATATCAGTTTTATAAAATGCCTTGTTCATTTCCTTTAAATAAGGAGTCTTTCAGCAAGCAAAGCTATTGAGTGGCGAGCAAAATACTCGCATAAGTGCGAAAGTTTCGTTCTTATTATTGCCTAAATTGAGTTGGCTCATTTTGTCTGCCATGGAAAATGTAATGAATTCTTAGGCATGTAATGAATTCTTCTCTCGTACTGCTCTTCATGCATTTTTAGTGCTAAATTGAATTTTTTTTATGATTTACTGGAAATAGATAGCGTCTGGTTTTAATTAAATATGTAAATGCGAATGTACCTATAATGACAAATTTCTATCAACCTATGAGATATTTCTTTGTTCATGAGAGCCCTCAATTTTTAGTTTAACGATAATAACAAAAACATATATAACAATCATTTAATTTTTTAGGATTCGAGAAAATGTAAAATCAAAACTCAGAAGTAATTATGATTAATTTTATTTATGCGAAAAAGGATGATATAGTAATTCGTGAGAGAAATACAAAATTGATCAAACTAAGTGATTGAATCCGGATTGAGTGTAATGCATCATTTGGCAGGTTTTCATTTTATTATGTTTTGCAGAAAATACGACTGTGTTTCGTCAAACTTTTGTATTCTCAAGAGAGTAACCAGAAACTTCATCTTGAATAATGTTTATGAAAAAGAAAACTAATTTTAAATTAAATCACTGTTCATATAAATAATACCAGAGAAAACCTGTAACTCCTTAGCAGCTATTACAGAAGACTTGCGAGTTGAATGATATATTTAAGGGAGAACTGAACGAAAATTATAAAGAGTTTAAGGAGAAGGCGACTAGCTTCTAGAAGTTAGAAGGAATCGTAGAAGACCAATTAATTATCTTCACATCTAATTCGATCTCTAAGCTCTCCTTTGGTTGACGAGTTCCATTTAATTGTCAAAACCTTTTAGTGATGTGTTGAAAGTGACAAGACTAAAAACTTGGCACGCGTGTTCGAGGGTGAAAATCGTGTGGAATTGATTTGCCTATTATGTCCATATTATTGACTTTGCTGCAAATTGCAATTTTCTGCCAAATACCGCCAGTGCACTTGATTGATAAACATAACTGATATTTGCAATCTCAATCATCGAGAGATCTCAATTATCCACTTTTATTTTACTGCAGGAGTATCTATCAGATAATATTGAATATTCATCAATTTGATATATAAACTGATGTGAAGTTTTAAGATGTGTACAACTTCGTACTTTTATTGCTATCTATATTCATCATACGCATATCAAATTTTTAAAAAAAATAGCTATTTTTGCTTGCATAATCCATAAAATGTTGAAAATGTGTTGATGGAAAAACTTACTGTAACGCAGCGGTAAATTCCTAATTGTTGATAATTCATAATTATTGCCCTGAAAGATGCATTAAATCATTAAAATCAGAATTCAGTTATGCTCATTTACATTTAGTGATACTTCGTATTCTTCAAATATGTAAATTCATATTGAAATACTAAATTTTCGAATTTTGTAATCATTTCATATCTGCTAAAAAATTGGCAAAGAAAAGCAGAAAATCAGAAAATCCAATTTCGCTACCCTCTTAATGGATAGCACAAATTAATTTAAATTTTCAAACGATGGAAACATCTCAACTAAAAATTTATGATATTAGTCTCTTTCTCTGTGCTGGATGTTCGGAAAATGCTGGATGTTCTGTTAAGCATGCGATTGTGTTTTCCAAATATTTTCTTTTAAAAATCTTGAATATAATTAATTGCTTTCAATATACGTAGTGAATAAACCAATACTCAATGAGTATTTTACAGGAAAAAGGGATTGTGTAGGTCATCAAGATCATCCTTCTTTATCTTATGCAAACATTTCATTCATTATCTTTGGGCAACACTTAGCAATTAGAAGAAGCGATTTTACGAAGAAAATTTATTGCAAATCGATGGCAGCTATCATAATCTGATTTCATAGTTTTTCAGAGCTTCGAAATGTTCCTCCGTAGATCGGAAATCAAAATTCAAAAAATAATTTTTAATATAACAATTCCGAAATGGATTATGTTAAGTAATAAAATTGATTGATTCCTCTTGAATAAGTAGTAAATAAAATATGCTTGAAAAGTTAGCAGGGGTTGTGATCTACACAATAAAATCTGTAAGTAATAGTTACTCTAAAAAGTTTCAGCAGCCTTGAAAAAAGCAAAATTTTAAGTAATATTGTCTCAAAACAGGTCGGGTTTTATTCCTTCCATACCTCTAATCTAACAAATTCTCAGTTTATATTCTTCAATTCAGGTTGAAGTTTTTTAGCTTTTTCGAAAATACTAGTAGGTACTTACCAATGGCAATGACAAGATGACGACAACGCACGATGATAATAATGTTAATGATAGTGGTGATAACATTTTTTTAAGTGAAGGGACAAAGGCACATATGAAGAGAGAAGCAGAAGTACACAGGCATAGGCCAAGACAATTTCAGAACTGAAATGGAGCACAAGTGGCAATTTTGCAAAAGAATGAATGGGTGGAACCTTTCATGGCGGATACATATAATACTATTTATCATCCAATTTCTATAGCCTTATATCTCATTTCTCATTTCATGAGATATAAGGCTGCAAGTATAGTTAGATCGACAGGCTTTAAGCCTATCTATGGGTATGTCTGCTGCTTACTTCTTACTTTGCCTTCTGAAAAAGGAGCATAAATGTTCCAGCACACATCAAACAAAATTGATAAATAAGAGTACATGGAGAAAACAGCAGCCTACACCACCATTCTCTACCGTATATTATTATTATTATTATTTCATTAAAAATGCATAAGAGAGAGTATGTTAACATCTTTTTCTTTCATCATTCAAAAGGGAGAAAGAAATAGAGCATCGGATACAATCAGCACTTTATCATTGTAACATTCATAAAGCCGTAATTCTGAACTTAAATTATCTGAAATATAATAATACTTCCCTCCTCACTAATTTTTCTGAAAACAAAAAATTCCTTTTAATTTGATTTGTTAAATTGAGATTTTTATATGAATATAATCTAAAGAATAATATTATTACAATTCGCAGCATAAACTATAACAATTTTCATTTTAAAGCATATTTTAAACTGCTGCAAATAAATTATTAAAATCTTTACCTATGAGCAAGTTATTGGACTCCGTTCCCCTAAACTTACACCAAAATTTATCGACTTGATTTGTTAGATTCGCTTCATAATTTAAGATTCGTTCCACATCTGGCATGCTTCACCTTCTTTTTAGCTTTGATTAAAACCAATTTGCAACAATTGAAAACAAATAGTAATTTTTTATTCTTTACAATACCTCAATCATATTTACTTTTTCCTAATGTCTCCATAAGCGAAAAAACCTTCTTAAAGTATCACACAATATCTTAATTTTCGTGAGCCCGCTCAGTGCAGACAACTGCGACACATCGGATTCTCTCGGGAAATTTCTAATTCAACTTCCCAGTAATAAATCACCATGTAGCAGTCGACCCCTGAAACCTTTCCGCTTTTTTCATTTTAGAATGAGAAAAAGACGATAACAGAATCGAGAAATACTGCACCCTCTCTCCCATTCATTGCATTATTGCAATTTGTTGCAATTCATTTTATAGGCTCAGAGTTTGCTACATGGAACGAATAATTGATACTTCGCGCTAAACAATTATGTTGCTGCTGGTCCCCCAATTGCTGGACCTTATATTTTTCTTTAACATTGAAATAGTGTTGGCCACAGTAACTTCATTCAATAAATCGAGCCAGGATGGCTCACACACAATAAAATTCCAAAATTTTAAATTACAGCTTTTAAAAAATTACAGCTTTCATAAATTCTGAATGGACTGAAATATAATAAATGGAGAAATAGCCACAACAAATCATGACAGTATCATTATAATTAGAAGTAAAATTGAAAGATTTTGCTGATGTGCAAGTATTTATGTCTTAAAAAAACTATTTCAATCTTTATATTCAAAAATATAAAAATTAAGAAGTAACTGATAATTGGAAATAAACAGAGAACAATCTTTTTCGAAGACATCATAAAATCATAATACATAAGGTTGTTCTCTAAGATTTTAAAACGACAGGATTTCGAAATACGATAGTGGATGCGAATATGGATTAGAGGATAGAAATAACTGTTGAAAAGAGAGAATTACCAAATATGCAGCACTACAGCATTTAAAATGAAAAAGTGCAGTTTTGTTCTAAAGCTGACACATTCGCTGATATAGAATGCTGTATCATTATTTCGAAGCACACATTCCTAACTTCGTATGGAATTAAATCAATTAAACAACAGTCAGAAACGTAAATATGAATCTCCCACTGGTCTAGTCAGCGTACCTTAATTAAGCGAAGAAGTTGCTCTTAGAACCTAATTCCTAAAACAGAAATTTTCACGCTATACAGAACAACTCATGCAATTTTTAATGTTCAGTTTGAATCATGAAAACTTCTTAGGGGGATTCACATCAGAAATAAGCTTCCTATAATTTACATTTCTTAAATACCTATTTAATTGATGATGAGAGTCAAGCATAATCTAAAACAACTGATAACAAACATGAAAAAAAATTTTTTGTTAACGTTGCTTGTATCTTTATAGCTCCATGAAGAACCGGAATATAAAAAATGGCCCAACGAACCAATCGCAACAAAACATGTCCCCACATACGTCCGCATAAGCATCGTGCGCAACCCACACCATTTCACGAGTTCGCATAAAAATCCATCATCCATGCATCGATAGGTGAAGAGGCAATTAACAACATGTAGATGTCGTTAAGTAGCAATACAGTATACAACCATGATTTTATCCACTTATTGGCGAACTCGTCCTTGGAAGCATTTAAATGACTTCCGGATGTTTTGGTTTTAGAGATATTACGACATGATGGAAACGTCTTCTTTATTTGCTTGTGTGGAAAAGCCGACCACGTAAACAAGGAAATGATTCCTGCAATAGCAATGAAAAGTAGTAATTATAGTATTAGTTTTTGCATGATTATAAATTTCTCATTTGGAAGGATGGAGGAATCATCAATAAACAATCAAATTTTAAAATCAGATTGTAATTTAAAGTATGTTAAATAACGAAGACAAAATATTCACCTTATCAGAACATGAACCTGATCGATAAAAGCAAATACATTACACCCACGCTGTCCACCCTTCATACATCAATGCCAAATTACTTATATCTGTCGCCTGTTGAATTAATAAGTCAACCTGAAACAAAAAACATATGCTAACTTGATGTCGTAAGCTCGATGAATTTAACATGAATTCAATGAAATCAGAATTTAAAATTTGATATACCTGTTCGGATGGTGTTAACGGTTCGCTTACAATGTTTGTATCACTTTTTGCACTATCGCTTTTATTGGTGCCAGTTACAACCATTCCTTCTAACTTCATCCGTACTCTCTTCGAGACGTGTTTACCGTGTAAATTCTGATGTTGCTGTCCTTCAAAATCCGAAATATATTATTAGTTCTTGAGATATACCAAAAAATTAAACGATTATCAGTGGAGTTATTAAAATGATAATCCTACCCTCATGCTGTTCCATCGATGAAGACTTGTCACTGCAGAAAGGCAATTCCATTCGTTCTTTCACTTTTTCCAACAATAACAGATTGTCGTAAATGCTGAAATGTCATTCAAATGAGATGCAGTGCAGGATGAACTCCTTGTGGAAGCTTGAAATCTCTTTTGCTTTTAAGCAATCAAATGGAAAAGATAGCTATCGATTTTCAAACTTTTTTCGTAAAAAATAACAAACCTTGGAATATTATTAACAACAGACCGGAAAAGATCGATACATACATTTGAACTATTGTATGGATCATCCAATAACTTGAGTCCTTTGATCAGTGGCTCGCTGAATAATTCTTTATACCGTTGCAAGTATATAGCAAACGATTCATTTTTCTGAAACTCTTCAAATTTCACAATATACAGACATGCAAAAATCAAAGGATATTACATTTCTTGACGCTTGCTTACTTGGCAAAAGTGCACAAAAATAGCTGAAACTAGCATCTCAAACTGCACAAATAATCGATCAAATGATAATCTCATCAAATAATCATCAAATAATAATCGATATCCCTAACGATCAAACTGAGGAATATACGATTACAACTATAACAACCAAACTAAGGAATATAGAAATACAATTATTTATTATAATTGCTCAATTTTAAAGACTTTTTGATTGCTAATTATTTTCCAGCAACGAATTCATTAAATTTCTCTGACAAGGATAAGAAATAAACTAATGAAGTTTCAGTAAAGGAAAGCATATTCGCCATACCGTCTTCTAAAATCTACGCAAGTGAATTTCGTTTCCATAATTCAAGCCAAAATCTCAAAATTTCTAAACAGAAAAATATTTAAATCATTAATACTTTCATTTAAATATTACAATTCAATCAGATATAATGGAAAATAAATTTGAACTTATCGCAAATATAGGAGCTGTTAAATAAAAACTTGCGTGAGCGAAGGAACGAAGAAGAGGACGTATATCATGCATCATAGAATGATGTTCTGTAACTGCGTTTTTTAAATCACGTTCAACTGACAGTTTTTCCATTTCCAGTTTATTTACCTCCTCTTCCCAATTCCGAGGCCGACTTTCCACATCTTTTTGAGCATTTTCGTATAATTTTCCCAGTATGCTAACAATGGACGCTAACATACGTTTAAGATGATCCCTGCAAGAAAAAAGTTCTATAATCTATTCAGCCAAACAATAAACTAATCAATAATAAAAAACTGAATAAATCAAACACTTGATGCCAATATTGATCAAGAATTAATAGACATAACAATTTTGTAGCAGAAAATGCGAAACAAGTAATATAAGAGGTTTTTAACCAGCCTGTTATCCAGCCATGCAGCACGGAGTTCTTTGATACGAAGAACAAATAATGAGAGAGCCATCGCATGCAAAATATCAGAATGACTGTCTATTATCCCTAAAGAAATACTCCATAATCAGCAATAACTCAAACTTACTAGCCAAAAAAATGGTTATCAGCAAGGAAAATATTAATCTTTATTATATTAACAAAATATATCATAAGCCTAGAACACTTTTTTCAAGTCTTTTATTTAACAACTATAACAAAAAAAAGATACAATAAATACTTGTCGATAATATATAAAATTTCGAACCATAAACAGCAATGATTGTTGCAATACCAATCATTGACTTGGAGCCGAGATCATCTTGTGCAGCAGCCCAATCAACTAATGGATCATAAACAAATGCATCCAACATCGTCAGCAATATTTCCTTCCCAGCGCGGAGTTTTCCTAGCACATTTTCGGAAGATAGTCGAAATGTTCCCTTAAAATCAACCATTTTTG